ACAGGGAGAGGAAAAATCCTTATAGCCTCATCTAGGAAACACGCCTTTGCAGACCCCAAGGGGCAGCTGTCTTATGTGCCTGTGGCTTTAATGACGAGCTGTGTGCGCTGTATGTGGGTGGAGGGACTGGGATCCAGAGAGCGCAGCAGGCTCTGCAAAAGGAGAAAGGGAAGTGACAGGTTATAGAAGGCGGGGGATGGGATGGTGAGTGGAAGCAGAGCCCAAGGGGGTATGGGGCCTGGGAAGCACAGCACAGACGGGACCCACGGAGCATCGGCTCACGCCATCCCAGCCGATCTGGACAACGACATTGATGACCAAGGTTCACCTCTGGTGCCCAATAGTCATTGTGTCCACTGGCTTCATAAGAGCCCAAGACAGAAATGCCATGTAATTCTTAAGCTAGAACGTCATCGACTCCCAGCCTGGGGCTGGGCCCAGTGGAGATGCTGACCTACCTGCTGCCCCACTCACCTCACCGCCAAAGCGGGAGCTGACACTGGAGCACTCAACAATGGTACCTCAGTGACCCCGAAGGCTGACCATGGAGCACATTCTTAAGAGGCATCTCTTAAGGTATCGCAGCGACGCATCAAACAGGACAGAGGTAAGAGGAGACCACTGGGGACAGCAGAGGGGCAGAGAGGACAGTGAGGACCATATAAAAGTTCAGCTATACAGACGTAGCTGGCGTTTTGTTTTCCTTTCCCCTTTGTAAAAACCTTAGCTGCTTTTTAAAACAAAAAGCCTCTGGCTAGAAAGACCCAGCCGCCAGCCATTGCCTGGGGACTGGACAGGCGGGTCTGCACTGCACAGAGGTGACTCACTCCACAGTGGGGAGGAGGGGCAGGAGGGAGGGAGCCTTTGCTCTTTTATGTCAAAGCAAGCAGGTCGGCGCCACACGTCCACAGTGCGAGCTGGCTGCATGAGCTTCCAGGAGTGGGAGGAGTGGGAGGAGTGGGCAGGAGCAGAGCTCTCAGTCTGGGCCAGGTGCTCGGACGGTGGGTCCGGTGAGGTTCCGAGTGGCCATCACAACAATTTCATCCCAAAAAGAAACAGTGTACCCACTAGCTGTCATTCTTAAATACATACATTTTTTGAACACCACCAGCACTGGTGTGTCAGTTTGTTTTGTGTTCCTGTAATCATACCTGAGACTGGGTAATATTACAAAGAACAGAAATTTTTATTTCACAATTGTGGAGGCTGGGAAGTGCAAGATCAAGGTACTACGTGTCTTAGTCTTTTTGCTATGTCCTCACATGGCAGAAAAGTGGAAGAGATCCCACTCACACAAGCCCTTTCTGTAGTGACTTAATCCATTGTATAGCAGTTTAGTTCATTCATCATGAATTTACCAAAAGCTTGGTCCTTGTCCCCAATGCCAATCCAATAATGAGGACACGGTTTTGAGAAAAAGGAAAAAGAAGGTTTATTGCTTTGCTAGCAAAGGAGAAACACAGGGGACTTCAGTCCTAGAGGCTGTGATTCTACCCATCAGAGAATTCAGTGGGCTTATTTTAAAGAAGCTCTTCAAAGGCTACATTCCAGGTATGCCCTTATAGGGGGTCCCAGGTGTACTTGATGGTGTGTTGAAATTCATTTGTTAATTTAGGAGATAGTCACTTCCTAGGTCTTCTGGTGACATCTCCTTTCAGTGAAGCACAGATAACACCAGGTACATTTGTACCCTGCCCCCAGGGTTAGGGAGGGGGCGGGGCGAGAGAGAAAAATGCTCCTTTTAAAATAAGCAGCAAGGGCTATACTCCAAAGGTAAAGTGGAGCACTGTTAAAATGATCTAAACAATTTTCATTAGGCCTCATCTCTCATCTTAAATAAATTCAACGTGAGTTTTAGAAGGGATAAAGACATTCAAACCATAGCACCACACAACCACTCTGTCTCTATAGATTTGCCAACTGTAGACATTTCATGCAAGTGGAATCACAATGTAACTGGCTTCTTTCATTTAGTATGTTTTTAAAGCTCAACCTTATTGTAACATGTTTTGGAACTACATTCCTTTTCATTGCCAGGTGATATTCTAATTATATGTGTATACCACATTTTATGTATCTATTCATCAGTTTGTTACAGGGCTGGGAACTTCCAGGAACCTGAGGCAGCTCAAAGGCCCCTCTTGAAACCCCAATACTTGGGATCAAGTCAGAAAGATTTCAGACAAGTTGCTGAGAGTAATAGGCATAAGTTTATTAGAAGGAATAGAGGGTTAGAGAGTGGGTCCTCAGAGAGGAGGGGGACAGCTTCCTCCTGGTGTGTCAGTTTTATTGAGAGTCCGTGAAGCCAGGGGACAAAAAGACAGTATAGATAATAAATAATTTGGTCTGATCAGGAAGGTGGAGGCTGGTTGGAAAGGAAAGGAAATCAAATGCTGACATCTCCATAGCCCTTTCCCCCTACTCCTCCAATCTGCCTCAGAGATTGTTCTCCCTGCTGGGCATTGTAAGAGTTGTTAATTAATGCCTCCAGAGCTGCTACCTTCCTAGGTCACTCCACTATTTGGCCCAGGATTGGGAGATGAAAAAAGAAAGATAAGGGGGGCAGGGAGTAGAGGGCAGGAGAGCAAAAAATATCTAAAATATATAAAGGGGGCAGAACATACCACTTCTTTGTGTATCATCTCTGGACCCCTTCTTCCTCCAGGGAGAAATGTTTGTATCCTTTAAATACAACTTAACTTTCTGTGTTGCCTGGGGTTCAGTCTTCACATCTGGGGAAATGGAACTCTTCGTCATGTCACCATTATTCACCATGGAAGTTTCCAGAGAGTCATTTACACCCAGGTCCATCTCTTTACTTTTGACTGACAGCAGGATGACATCAGACTTTCAAGTCCCCATTTCTGTGACAACTCTAAGTCACTTTGGGCCCATGCTGACAAGTCCTAATTGGAACTTGTTCTTACAAATTATGTGGTTAGGAGGAATTATCCTTATATTTCTGAATTCTGGATTCTAGTCTTGTGTATAGGTCATAAAAATTCCTGCTTTAGAGTAACTTGTGTTCTTATCAGCATTTCAGGGCCTGCATTTCTCCTACAGATAGCAGGTAGGTTGCTGAGAAACATTACACATATCCTATCCACTTAAGCCATGCAAGGGCTGCAGGTGAAAGCCCGTGGGGGTCAGCACATGGGCCCATTTTACAGAATTACTTCCTAACCTCATGTTCCCACTGCTCCTGCCTATGTGTCCTCTATCAAGTTGATGGACATTTGGGTTGTTTCCATTTTATGACTATTATGATGCATGTGTTACTGTGAACATTTGTGTACAAGTTTTTGTGTGCATTTATGTTTTTATTTCTCTTGGATGTGTGCTTAGGGGTAGAATTACTGGGTCACATGGTAACTCGGTGTTTAACCTTATGAGTGACTACCAAACCATTTTCCAAAATGACTCCACCATTTTACATTGCTACCAGTATTACGTGAGAGTTCCTTTCCCCCCAATCTTCCCCCAATACTCCTCTTATTTGAATCTAGCCATCCTCAAGGAAGCCAAGTGGTATTGCCCACGTGGTTTTTGTTTGCATTTCTCTGATGGCTAATGATACTGACTTATATGATGTTGTCTTTGATAGCCACTAGTATACACTTTGGAAAAAAGTCTAATCAGACTTTTGTTCATTTTAAAATTGGGTGGTCTTTATTATTTAGTAAGGGTTCTTTATACATATATATTCCTTATGAGGTGAATGATGTACAAATATTCCCAAAGGTTTTTATACCCTCAATGCATGGATCTAGTTTATAATAACCACACTGATTAAGGACATGCTTTGGGTGAAACTCTGCAATGGCACCTATATGTGGATTATTTCTTTTGCTTCTCATAATAACCTCAGTTTTCACGTATAAAAACTGTGGCACAAAGAAGTTAAAGAATTAGTTATTGCTCAAGATCTGGTTAGTCACACCTGATCCTCCCTGTGTATTCAGCCTTGACTGCAACAGGACACATACAGGCACAGAGCTGCATGCCCTCAGCTGGAGCTCAGAGCTTATTAAGATCCTGGCACATATGTTTGTACTCATTCATTTTCATATTGTGTCGAGTCTTTAGGTCAGCCTTGACCTCTCCTATCTGAGTCCTTAATGTCTACACTCCACTCTGAGTTTCTCATTATGTGTACTGTATAGTTAGGGTCTACTGGGTCTTGATTTTCCTCTGGTTATTTTATATTTATATAATGTGGATAGACAAGATAGGTAACTGTCTTTTATAGAGTAACTTTAGCTTAGTAAAAGCAAAATTGAATTAGGAAACTAGGGGGAATTACAAAAGATTAATTTTGGTTTTATGTAAGAAGAAATTTCTGAGCAGCTAAAACTATCCCTCAGTGGAATCAGCTACGTGGTGAATAATTTTCCAGAACTGTGCGTATTTAAGCAGCAATGGAGGACCCTGTGGTCAGGATATTGCAAAATGCAGTTCTGTATTGAGTAGGGGCTATGCTGAGGCCACTTCTACATTAGAGAAGGGCTTACCTCTGGCAGGTAATACAGCATGGCACTTGTCATCTGGCTTCAGATTTTATTTTTATTTTTAAATCTGAACAAATATAGTGGTAAACTCTTGAATAATAAGGTAAAAGTATCTTAATCCTTCAAAATTCAGTCTCCTTTGGGAAAAATACTTCTAATTACTCAGATTGATAGACAACTTGAGTTTTTCTAAATGGAAAGGACTTTGGTTAAGGGTATAGACTCTGGATTCAGTCTGATCTGTATTTGAGACTCATTTTTGTGGTATGAGCTGTGTGGGTTTGGGCAGTGCCTTTACCATTGTATGCCTCAGTTTTCTTACCAGAAATGGGCATAGTAAGAGTATCTCCTCTGAACAGCTATAAAGATCCTCTAATGTTTGTGTGATGCATACTAAGTGCTCATTAAATGCTTGTTTCTTGAGGGAGGGAGGATGAGGGATGTAGATGGTTGTTAGAATTAAATGTGACCTCATGTTTAAATTTCTCTTAGAGGAAACACAAGAATAGAAGAGGCTTGTGAAATGTATACCAGAGCTGCAAATATGTTCAAGATGGCTAAAAATTGGAGTGGTATGTACAAATGTTTTGTTTGCTTGCTTTTTAGACAAATACTTTAAAATCATTTTGTGGAGAAAGTGACTTTTTGTATTCCCTGAAAGAGTGAGACTTCATGCCACAGAGATCCATCTCAGTCCTGCAAGGACTGCCATCTAAGTGAGCCAAGCTTGAAACCTGGCTTGAAGTTGAAGCACAAGGACAGTATCTATCTTAGTTTCTATAAGCCACCTAATATAGTAGGCTTGTGGTAATAACTAGAAAGAATTAAAATTGCATGGAATTAGGAAGAGTAATGTTTGTTTTTTACTAATGTGCTCAAATACATACAGTGCCATAAGGAATGAAAGTTGTAGTGAAACTCATTGAAAACAGGTGGGATAAATAGAATTGCCTGGTTTTCTTTATCTAAGCATTAGTTGGGAATTTTTAACCATTAACTACTCTGAGATAAGTGATTGTGAGCCCATCAAGAATTGCTATGGGGGGAGTTGGGGATCTTCTCATAACCCCCAAGGATTTTTTTTTTTTTTTTTTTTTTAGTAATTCCTTTTACTCAGTGAAATCACACATAACAGAATTAGCAGGATTTTTCTTTTCATTCCTGAGAGGAGGAGATGGTCCTTTCTAACACTGGTTTGAGAAAAAAATTCATTTCACTTCCCCTTGAAACAGAGACATTTCAAGGCCAAATAAGGTATTTCTGAGTGAAGATGGAGATAACCTTAGACCAGAGCAGGGAATGTGGGTCTCTAGCTGTGGCTCATAACTTTAGTGTGCGGGAAAGTGGTTCTCTTCTATAAGCAATTTGTTTTCCCATTTCCCTTAAAGGCATACAATTTTAAAATTATTTCAAAGGAGAAAATGCTTTTGAGTTAGATAAATCTGAAAGGTTCCTTCTGGCTCTGAAGTTCTTTTTTAAGTTTAGTTTTATAGGTAGACTTTAGGTAAAAGGTAAAAATGGGGAAGAAAAAAGTATTGTCCCAGCATCCCCTCTTTTTTTTCAAATCCTATAATATAGGTAGAAAGTGTTCTTAGCAAAGAAGACCAGTTATTTATTTTATCTTGTGAGCAGATAGTCTACTCTTTGAAAAATTCATCTCAGAAAGAGTTATATAATTTATCATTTATATAACTATGGGGGCTTTTAGTGTAGCCCGTCCCCCAGCCTGTTGTCTGTGGTGATGCACCCTGTATAGTCCACCTGACATCTCCATGCATTTGCACTTTCCCAGTTTGTCTTAATGACTTGAGGTTCATCAGCTTATATTCCAAATAAGAGCTGACCTCCTTATCACAGCCTTCAAGTACTGTCTCCTTCACCTCTGACCTCATCCTGATTATTCCCCTTGTGCTTCCACCTTGAAGGCTTTACTTATTCTGTTCTCTCTGTCTGCACTTCTCTGCTAAATAGAATGTGACCAGTTCCCTGCTTCCCTCAGGTCCTTTTTCAAATGACATCTTAACCAGCATTTCTCTGGCCATGCCTTTTAAAAATAACAATCTCCTTATTCCTAGAAACTCCCTTTTTTCCTCCAGTGCCCTATCACTGTCTAGCAAAAATACATAGATTATGTGGTGTTTTAATCATTCATATTTATGTGTTTTATTATGTGGTGGTCCTCATTATAATGTAAACCTTGGAAGGCAGAGTGTATGTGTTTTTTTAATCTCTGCCATATCTCAGGGCCTGGATTTGTGTCTGCAACATAATGGGTTCTTGGTATGTTTGTGAAGAGAATTAGTAAATATTAGGCTCTGAAGTTAAACCCATGTTGCTGTGGTAGTAGTCATGACACCTCTTGCATCTCTTTGTAATTTTAAAAGTTCTTAAAAAAAAAAGTTCTTTTATAATGATTAAGCTAATGCTTTTGATATTCATCTTTTGAGAGATCTTACTGACAGGTATTAGGCCAGTTTTGCAAATGAGGAAACTTAGCCTGAGAAATTGAATGACATCCTAGAAGCTGTCATGTTAATGTATGCTCTTTTAATGATACTTACAATTCTGGCAAGACTGAATTGCCGTTATTAGTATCAATTGAAATGAGTGCTCAGAGTGAAAAAGTAAGCCAGCTGCTAGTTTGAGATGGTAGGAACATGAAAATATAAAATTAAAGCACTTACTATTATCTGGGGAAATCGAGTTGCTCAAGAAAGCCTTAATATTGTGGTATTACATTCAGCAAGAGAAAGATAGAACATGATTAATTCTGTACAGTAAACATAAATTATTGAAAATGAAATGCTGGCAGGAGGGGGAGAGCGAAGTTGTAAGAAACAATAACATTTAAACATGCCAAAGCAGTGATCTAAGGATAGATTTGCTATAATAATAGAAATGTCCAACACTGGCATAACCTGAGCCAGGCCCTTCTAAGCACTGTACTTAGGTCTAATTATTTCTACATTCTTGAAGGTAGAGCTCTCAAAGCTACTGTTCAACTGGCATATTCCTGAACTGCTAGTCAGTAATTGGCTGCTTTTCTAAGTACCCCAGGTACCTCCCACAATCCTGGCAATGGCCTTGGCCCTCATTGGGATCCCCTGAGGCCTCATAATTTGCCATTAGCCCAATAGGGGTGCTCCAGTTCCAGCTCCAACCCTGAGGTCAACATCCACTTTGATTATCTCCTTTATTCTATTCCTGCTCCTTAGACTGAGTAAGTCCAAGATCAGAATGCCAGCAAATTTAGTGTATGGTGAAGGCTTGCTCTCCTCCGTCTAAGATGGCACTTTTTTGTTGCATCCTCACATGGCAGAAAGGAGCATGTCACATCCTTTCAGCATTTTGGGGAGGGCAGGGTACCAGGGATTGAGCCCAGGGGCACTTAACCACTGAGCCACATCCTTATCCCTTTTTTATGTTTTATTTAGCGACAAGGTCTCCCTGAGTTGCTTAGGGCTTCTCCAAGTCGCTGAGGCTGGCTTTGAACTTGTAATCCTCCTGCCTCAGCCTCTTGTCTCAGCTCCTGACAGCATCTTTTTTAAGGGCATTAATCCCAATCGTGAGGGTACAGCCCTTGTGACTGAATCACTTGTTTAAAAAAGCCTCTTAATCACTTATTTAAAAGCCCAAGTCTTAACAGTATCACATTGGGTATTATATTCCAATATTTGAATTTGGTGGGAGACTCCTTAACATTTAGACCATAACAATACCCATGTCTTTCTGGGTACTCTTTTTATTGGAAACAGAGACATAGAGCAAGATCTGAACGTGGGCAGGTTGGCTCCAGAGTTTGTATGCTTCTTTTCCCTAGGATGGAAGTTTAGAAACCCACCTGAGAATTATGTACTTACCTCTGAAGAGGGGATTGGAATGAGGGATGCAGCTGAAACTTTAGCAGAATTGGATATTTTTATCTTACAAAGAAATTTAAAACATGTTTAGCATTAGCAATGGATACTACTTATGACTAATATTCTTAATCATGCTTTCCCTAGTAGAGCAGATTCAACAATGATAACTAAATCTTTTGAAACATGAGTAAATAATCTTTGTCTCAGTGTTTTCCTTTTTTTAATTGTTTATAACTGGAAGCCCCTTGTCCATATTTATTTTATGATTTTGTAATAGAAATGAATAGGCCAGGTCTTGGCTATTGTCATTGATTGGCAGGTCAGAGATTGGAGTCTTATTGTCCAGAGGCACTTGGCAAGCCTACTGAAACTGAGATGGAGAAACTCTCTCACTTTTTGACTTGTTTTTAATTTGTTTTTGTTTTGTTTTGTTGTTTTTTTAATAAATACTTGAAGTGCTTGACCATATTTATGTGTGCCTCTAACTGGAATTCAGAAAAATGTACCTTCTCTGGGTCCTTATCTGGCAGTTCTGGGGGAGGTATTTTCTTTTTCTTTTTTTTTCTTTTAAATATTTATTATAAAGATGGTCACAACATCTTTATTTTATTTTTATGTGGTGCTGAGGATCGAACCCAGCGCCCTGCGCATGCCAGGCAAACACGTTACCGTTGAGCCACATCCCCAGCCCGGGAGGTATTTTCTTCTGTGTTTTAACTATGGCATTTTCTTCTCTAGCCGCAGGAAATGCGTTTTGTCAGGCTGCTAAGCTTCATATGCAACTTCAGAGCAAACATGACTCTGCTACTAGCTTTGTGGACGCCGGGAATGCTTACAAGAAGGCAGACCCTCAAGGTGAGGCAGCCCATCTCCCTCTCTGCCTAACTAACTAGCCAATGTTGCCTTCGATATCAAAGTCAGTGTGTCCTTTTCATTCCTACTACAGGAAATAATACAGAAATTTTGACAATTAGAAATTTTTATTATTTAATCATTTGGGGGCTTTTATGAAGAGAACATAATTTAAATTTATCCTGGCTATTTAGTTATCAATACTGTTTTCTTAAGTTCCATTTACGTATTTTGGAGAATTGTTTGGAAATTACCTTTAATTTTATCTAAGACTTCTATTGTCTTGATTTTACAAAATATGTTCTTTATCATGTAGGGAAATTCTAATGTTTCCTTTCTCCTAATATTTAGTGAGTTTTAAGATATAGTTTGAGGAGACTGGATAAAAACATCTCTTGATCACACAGCATTCATTTGTGGTGTGTGTTTTTTTGTTTGTTTTTCAAAGTATTTATTTTGAGCAAAGAATGAAATTAGATAAAGTGGTAAATTTTTGTAAAGGTTGTATAGTTAGCAATTAAAAGTATTCATGACTTATCTCCCACCCATGTGCATGGATAGCCTTGAGCCTCCCTTTTTGCTTTCAGTAGTCCCATCTTATTTAACATACAAATTTCAACTTTTGTAAATATGTCATAAAGAAATAAGATAACATCAAGGGCTTTTGTGTAAAGGTTAATCACAGTTTAGTTTTTTCCAAAAGTGAAAAGCTGGGCACAGCCCACATGAACAGTAGGGGTAGAGTGGTAGACTTACAGTGCATCAATATTTTAGAATATGATGCAGGCATTAAAATTCCTGAGTCAAAGAATCCTTGGTAAATATTCACATGTTAATTAAAGAACCACATGGGGGGAAAAAAAAAAAAAGAACCACAATGAGACCAATCCAATATTGCATGACCTAGATATTTGAAAAACGTTCATGCACATAGAAATGGATCCAAGAACACTGGAAAGAAAAGTTCATCAAATACTGATACTTAGTTTGAGTGGGACTATAGACAAATGTCTTTCTCTATATTTTTAAAGATATAACAGTGAGTTCATATTTTTTTCATAGCTTAAAGGAAATTAATTTTAACTTTTGTTGTTTACTTTTCTAATTCTTCGGTCAAACTTTTCCACATTGCTGCCTCTTTCAGATCAAATACAATAAACTTGAAGGTGCCAATCACATGCCAGCAGTATAAATACTGCCATTTTGTGAGAGGGAAAATTTTTTGGCTGTTTTAGAAAATATAATTTATTAGCATTATCATTTATTGGATTTTTTTATTCCTTTTCCAGATATGTTAGTATACCAAAATTTAACATCTTTATGCATTATACACAGTGTTTAACTTCACTTAAGAGTTGTCTGAATAGGCATTTCAAGATGCTTTTGATTTGGAGACCATGAGGAATAGAAACTATTGAAATGATCTTTCTTGTGAAGTGATACTGTCTTCCAAAATTAGTATATATCCATACAATATTAATGAAGAATACATTTACACTTAGTTATTAGCAGATATAATTTGTCGGTTTGGTGACAATCCCTATGGTCTTATTTTCTTTGTAATAGAGTATGTCATCTGAATGGAGTCCTCACTTTAAGGTTGAGAGTAACTGTGAGCCACTGTTACTCCAGCCACACCTCCTTAAGTTATACTGTAGCTGCCTGGAACGAAGCCATGCTGGTGTATCTAGATTTGTGCATGATTAGTATTTACTTCTCACTAACTGACCTGCCCACCCTTCACCCCAAATTGTACCTCATTAACGTTCTAATAACAGCCAAGAAGACAGGCTCACCTGAACCCTCTTTGACTGAATGGATTTTTCATTGTTTTTCTTAAATGCCCACGCTTCAGAGGCTATCAACTGCTTAAATGCAGCCATCGACATTTACACAGACATGGTAAGACATTACATTGCTTGAGCGGCTGTGGGGTGGAGTCCTTGAGATGGCTTAGAGTTGTATCTTTTTATTTTTTTTTCCTGTTCCCAAAATGATTGGCATTCAAATAGGTAAAGTATGTGTGTGACACTGGTTTTTCCCCCCTAGGGAAGGTTTACAATTGCGGCCAAGCATCACATCACTATTGCTGAGATCTATGAGACTGAGCTTGTAGACATTGAGAAGGTAAGCACTGGTCATAGCTCCTCATAACTTGATGTGAAGCAAGTGGAGAGTTGGATGCCAGGAGCCCTCCTCTCGTAGCTGACTTCAGTTATATACAGAGGGCTTCCTATGGACTTCATGGGTGTGACTGCTTTCCTGGAGTGAGTATGTAACACACAAGAGCTGGTTAGATTTATTGAACTACCCATTATTTGTACACTCACTCAGCATAGCTGCTTGAATATCATATGTGTAGTCCAGACCTTGCTCCGAACTACAGATTCCTACCTGTGTAAGGGTCCGGCGAATGTCGGAGGAAGAGACCACCAAGAGACCGGCTCATGCAACAGCAAAAGGGGATTTATTGAGGATCCAATCCAGCGTGCTGGGGCTCCAGGCTCACTCAAGAAGGGAGAGTGGCCAAGAGCCCCGAGCAGAGGTTAAGCAGTGCTTAAGTACACTTTTTGGGGAGGGCGGGGGCTTTGCATACATCAGAACAAATCATCATGAGGCGCAGGAAAATCGAACAACAACTCTCAAACTTGAGAGTTTGAGAGGTCGGGCGGGAAGGGGGGGTACATTCAAACTGATTGGTTTAGGCCCTGAGATGCCTACGTGCCAAGCTGCACAGGGTCCTAGGTTATTAAACAACTAGATGGTCAGGGGGAATATTTACTGGGCAGTCCCAGGAATTGTTTTAACAGCTACAGGAATTTCAGGTTTTGGGGGTATAGCATAGGAACTTAACAATACCTGGTCCTTTACGTTTTAACTCAGGCTTTGCAGCTTAGAAACTTTACAATACCCGGTTTTTTTACACTTTAACTTCAATTTCTTTTACTCTTACACCTGCACCTGCCTGCTGCTAGCTTTTCCACTTGGGTCCAGCAACATCTCAAAGCTAGCAGATCTGAAATTGGATTTTGATCTAAAGTGCTACTGCCCCCACCTTGCTTCCCTCTAAATGGAAGGCCATCTTGTCCTTTCTCTTACTCTACATCCAACCTATGAGCCAGTTCTGTGGGCACTGTCCTTAGTGCTTTTGAGTCTCAGCACTTCTCACTGCATTATTGTTCCCCAGCTTTACTTGATCACTGCAGGAACCTTCTAACCAGTTTCCTGCTTCTACTTCCTCCTTCCCCTCATTTTTGAGCCCTCATGCAACAGAGTAACCAGAGTGATCTTTGTCAGTAGTATATCAGATTCTGTTTCTCTATGGCTACAATCTTTGGTTGGGTCTCTCTTCATTCAGGAACATCTGGAATCTTGCATGTAGTCTTCAGGGCCCCGCTGAATTACTCCTCCCACCCCACCTATGCTCCTCATGCCCTTCTGGAACCTCCTTTCTCTACTCTCCTCCCCTGCTCTTTGCAGTGATGATTCCTCTACCTGAACAACTCTCCCTTAGATGTCCTGATGGCTAACTTCTCATATCCTTCATGTCTATGTGGTTAACATCCCCCATGCCTTTCAATTTTTGTTAATTTATCACATTTTCTATGAGGATTATCATGACCACCTCTTTGGAATTATAACTCCAGCCCATCAGGAATACTTAACCAGACTGCCCACATTTCTCTCAAGTTTTTCTCTTGTTTTGCAGCACTGGTGTGGCTTATATCATGCTCTACCATATGCTTGCTTATGCTTGCATCTTTCCCTTTACTAGATTAAGTGCCTAAATCAACAGTTTTGTCTCTGCTTTTCTATTAGGTCCAAAGGGCCCAGAACTCTGGACATAGTAGACTCTAAATAAACATTTGTTAAATGAAAACCATGCCCCAGTGTCTGGCTTAGCAAACTGGGGAAGAGTCCTGGGGGCAGTATAGAAGTTGTACTCTCGTGGTTCACATTTGCCTTTCAGACTTCATGCTGACGTCCACCTTTTGGTTATTCAGTTGAAAACTTGCTACATAATATTCTTTAGCCTCCCCTACCCTGTAATTGCCATCTTACTTGAGAAATCTCTCTGATCTTGATCACATCAGAGCTACCCTGTGCATTGGTGTGTGAACCTTCTTTGGAAAGTTATCTGCAAATCCTGGAGGAAGGTGATGGAGCCTGGACCCAAGCTCTTAGTTGTTCCCTGGTGTAGGATTAATGATGAGTCAGGAAAGAGACATGTCTGGTACGGCTAGGGTCTTTCTTTGGTCAGAGTCTGGGATGGGCATAGTATCTTTATTGAGGTTGAGTGAGTCTTTCGAGGTCATGCAATGTGCAGGGTACTTCCTGGTTTAAGTACTCTAGTAGACCAGGACATTGGCATTATGCCATTTCTGCCACCAGAGCATGGTCTGACAGTCACTTCACTATATGGTCTCCATAAAATTAAGGGTGAATACAATGATCCATGGCATACTCTTTTCCTCTTTAAAAAATAAATTAAAAAATTAAAAACCTGATTAGTGCTGGCAGCTTCTGAAAACCTACACTAATTTATGTGTCCCTGCCACTCTGAGGATTGACCAGTAGGTGGCACCCTATTTCACTGATATGACCTGTCCTGTTAAAACCAATTAACCTAATGTAACTTATATGAAATTTTTACAAATGAATTTATTCTCTTTTAATTCTTTCCAGTGTCCGTCCACTGATTCATTCACAGTTTTAGCTATTGGAGAGTGAAGTTTGAAATTTCATAAACTCAATTGTCTCAACTTGATAAAGTAAAACACTGAACCACATAATAAAGAAGTCTTCCTTTAGGTGATCTCTTAAATGATCCAGAGGAACTATGACTCATTTCTGTTTTCAGCTTCTGAGCACACAGCAGGTTCATGGTAGGTCTTGTTTGACAGTATTTGTTCTGAAAGAATAGCTCCTTAAGGCTATTCACCCACACAGTGGACTCTTAAGCATGAAATTATCAGATACAACTGATTTCTAGTATTTAAGAATCTATTTGTGCCTGGTAAACTTTAATACATGTTAAAGTTCCACACTAAATGTAAATATCCAAAGATTATATACAGTTACCTCTTTCAAACTTTTCTGTGGAAGCAGTGCATATGCATGTTTCCTTTCAAGTCTAATCTCTGTCAAAATTATGAATTTGATAATTAGTTTAATTAGCATTATTTTAAAAAGTCTTCTTTTACTAATATATGTAGTTGTAGTTTACAGTGCTAACATTTTGCTGTACCAGCCATTCTCATTACTTAATAATATTAAGTTAAACCAAATTCCCAACATTTGTACATTTCCGAGGTGGTGGTGCCACCACCACCACCACGCAGCTGTTCCATATGACTCAGCTCAACCCTTATCATTGATTTCTGATAAGAACTAGGAAGTCAAATAGCTCTCCTCTCTGTCCCAGGAAGAGTATTTCTTTGTAGAAAGACTTGGTTATGGGGCTGGTGATGTGGCTCAAGCGGTAGCGTGCTCACCTGCCATGCGTGCGGCCCGGGTTCGATCCTCAGCACCACATACAAACAAAGATGTCGTGTCCGCCGAAAACTAAAAAATAAATATTAAAAAAAAATTCTCTCTCTCTCTTTAAAAAAAAAAAAAAAAGAAAAAGAAAGACTTGGTTATGTTGTGCATGACTTATCAATTTATTACAATGGGAAATGATGCTAAACACTTCCGAGAATGAAGACAATTAAAAAGACTTTCTTGAGGGGTGGGAAAAGACTTTTGTGCATACTAATTAAGCACACACTCTTACCATTGAGCTTCACCTCCAGCCTAAGATGGTTTTTGTTTTACTAATCATATTTATTGAAAAACTTCTGGGCTGGGGATGTGGCTCAAGCGGTAGCACGCTCGCCTGGCATGCGTGCGGCCGGGGTTCGATCCTCAGCACCACATACAAACAAAGATGTTGTGTCCGCCAAATACTAAAAAATAAATATTAAAAAAAAAAATTTCTCTCCCTCTCTCTCACTCTCTCTTTAAAAAAAAAAAAAAAACTTCTTCTGGTACTTCATATTAATCAAAATATTGGCAGTAGTTTAATAGGCACCTTTATTTGTAATGTCATTTGCATTTATTCCCTTACCATCTATTCATTGAGCACCTGTCTTGTGCTAGGCATTATAGTAGGCTCAGGGATATAATATTGAGCAATAGCCCCAGTACCTGTTCTCACAGAGCTTACATTGCAGTGGAAGAAGATGTATATTCAACCAGATAATCCCACTTGTGTGTACATGATAACTCTGAGAAGTGTTCCAAAGGAATATATTCTTCCAGACACTTCTGTATGAGTGTACACTTGCAAAAAGAAGATCACAGTGGGGCTGGGGATGTGGCTCAAGCGGTAGCGCGCTCGCCTGGCATGCATGTGGCCCAGTTTCGATCCTCAGCACCACATACAAACAAAGATGTTGTGTCCGCCGAAAAAAACTAAAAAATAAATATTAAAAATTTTGTTTTCTCTCTCTCTCTCAAAAAAAAAGAAGAAGAAGAAGATCACAGTGTATCTGTTCTTTGATAACTGTAGGGTTTTTTCCCCCACATATTTTATTGGTGCATTGGTACATAATGATGGGATTTGTTATTACATATTCATACATGAACGCAATAAAACAATATAATTTGGACATTATCACTCCCCAGATAACTGTGACGGTTTTTTGTGGGGGAGGGTAGTTACCAGGAATTAAACTCGGGGGCACTCGGCCACAGAGCCACATCCCCAGCCCTGTTTTGCATTTTATTTAGAGACAGGGTCTCACTGAGCTGCTTAGTGCCTTGCCACTGTTGAGGCTGGCTTTGAACTTGAGATCTTCCTGTGTTAGCCTTCCCAGTCACTGGAATTACAGGCATGCACCAACATGTCTAGCTTGATAACTGTTTTAAAACTTAGTATTTTATGAAGAACTTTCCATCTTAATACTTTCTACTCCTTACTTTCAATCATAGTCCAATAGCCCAGCATATCTAACCACTTCCGTTGTATCTAATTATTCTTATTATAAATAACACTGAGAAAATCTGTTCAGGAGCATATTAATTAGCATAGTTAATGACAGAAACAGTAGACTCAAACATAATTATTGAAAATTATTCAAGGTGAATGCTCCATAATGCAGATACTAGGATAGTGCTGGCCCTGCCACATACCTCCCGTGACTTCAGAGTTGCTCTGCTCATGGCCACTACCTCCTGCAGGAAGGCAGAGGCCTGTGGACTTTATGGGCCAGTTCTATTTGCTTCTTGTCAGCTCCCTATTCCAAAGTGGAATTCTAACATAATTCCCTAGCCTGTTGATTTGTTTGTTGTTTTATTATTCCTATGCCTGTTTCTTAACCCATGAAGAGCTGTCTTGACGCCATCAAAATAATGAATACAGTTTTGGGGAAGGCAACACCTTTAATCTGATTTTTGCATGCTGCTTGCTCCCCGTTTTAGGCTTAATGGGAAACCTTTGTCATTTAAGACAGGGATCTGCAAATGTACCACTTGTGTTCCATATGCCCACAGTTAAGAATGATTTTTATGTTTTTTAATCAGAGGGAGAAAAGCATTTGTGACACATAAAAATAATGTGAATTAGAAATTTCATTGTCCATGAATAAAGATTCCTTAGAACACAGACACACACTTATGTATATGTTGTTCCTGGTCATGCTGCCACAGGAGAGCTGAATCGTTGCAGCAAAGGTTGTTTGGTTCACAAACCCCAAGATAGTTATTATCTGATCTATTACAGAAAAAGATTGCTAGGTTCCTGATTTAAAGCCTTGTACATACTTACCTCTTGCCATTTGAGATGTAGAAGTCATTGCTTTTTCCAGTCTTAGGAAATCCTTATCTCTGATGCCATTCATACCTGCCTATAGACTGGCTAATTTTTTTCCAGGATTTGTACACCTAAAACCTCGCTGAAAACAGCAACATACATCATAATGTATCTCTTTCCAGTGACTTTGCATAGAATTTCAGGCTCTGATAGACACCTGTTTTACCTTCTGAACTGTCTTATTGCTTAATTTCACTTAATCTTCTGCCACAGTATTATAAGAGCTTCTAGATTTCTGGCTTGGAATCTCTGTTTCCTTTCTACTTGATGGTTAATTGAGTGTCACACATTTTAGATTGAAGGCACACTGTTGTTCAAGATGACTCATGTAACTAAGGAGACTAAAATACAAGGACCACAGATTCTTTACAAGTTAGCAAAACCTTATCTCAAAAATTTAAAAGTAAATAAATAAAAAGGGCTGGAGAATTCCCAGTACCCCTTCCCCCCGAAAAAAAGACTTTTATGGTATTAGAGTAATCTGTGCTACAATAATATCTGTAGACTTAAAGTATAATGGAATTTCATATCTTTCCAAAATAGCAATCCGGTGTAGCTATTGTGGGTTTGGCAGTGATGGGCACATTAGGGATGGAATGTTTTCTGCCCTTTAAGAATATTTAGGAAGCAGAGTTCTGCCTTCTTCAATATCACTCCAATATCAATATAGGAAGTCTGACTTTAGTGTCATTCTGGACTTGATGATTGCCATTCTAACTTATGGAAGTGGAAAAGACCTGGAGAAGGATTCAGAAAAAGTAAAATATATGGCTTGAGCTTGAAAGTGGCCACAGCATGTCTGTTTCTATTTTATTGGAGTGAACTAGTCACATGGCCACCTCTGTCTGCAGTGGAGGCTAGAAAAGTTGGGTAGCTGGGCATTTGCTATGGCAGAAGGAAAGGTTTTGATGGATAGAAAGCATTCTTCTGCCAGGAGCCCTACAGAGGTGTGCAGTCCCTAAATAAAGTTGGCTGAATTGTGAAAGGTTTACCACTGGAATAGATTGATTTTTGGGGGGGGAGGGGGCAGATGTAGTGTAAAATGCAACTCTTTGAGTTAATTTACAAATGTGAGTAAAATATATGTATTTTCAGGCTATTGCACATTATGAACAATCTGCAGATTATTACAAGGGAGAAGAATCTAACAGGCAAGTGTTTTTTTTAATATTATATCGGTTTTATTATGTGTGAAAAAAGATAAATCATTATTATACTATGTTAGTGTCTTTGTACCAGATGCAAGTATACCAGGGTTGAAACATACACATCTTTTATTTTTCCTTTGGACTGTTATTTTCCTTTGGACTGTTATTTACTCTGCTCTGGTTGTTGATTTCAGCTCAGCTAACAAGTGTCTGCTGAAGGTGGCAGCATATGCTGCACAACTTGAACAGTACCAGAAAGCCATCGAGATCTATGAGCAGGTGAGAATACTCATGTCTCCTCAGTATAAGCCATTCATGATCATTTTTTAAATTAAACTTTATATTTCATTTTTCTTTTTACTTAGATCATTCACATATATAAATAAGTAAAATTCATTCGTTTTTAGTATATTCCCAAGTTTTATCACCATTACAATTGTTTAAATTCTAGAATCCCAAAATCAGCCCAGTACCTTATTCCAGTCTCTTCCCAGTTCCAGGAAAATGTGATCTACTTTCTGTCTCTATGGATTTGCCCTTTAATATACATGGAATTCACAACATGTGTTCTTTTGTGACTGATTCCTGGCATATTGTTTTCAAGATTCATCCATGTTGTAACCTATGTCAATACTTCATCATTATCACAGAAAGTGATACTCTATAGTTTGTTTACTCATCAGTTGATGAACATTTGGAATATGTCCATGTTTCCACTTTGGGTCTGTTAAAAAAAGTGCTGCCATGGGGCTAGAAATGTGACTCAATGGTAGAACACTTGCCTGGCATGGGCTAGGCTCTGGATTCAATCCTTAGTACCACAAAAAAAGAAAAAAGAAGAAGAGTATTACTATGAACATTTGTAGTTAAGTTTTTCTGGGTTATGTTTTTAGTTCTCTTGGTTATATACCTAGGGATGGAATTACAGTTGCTGGGCTATATGGTAAGCCTTTAGGGAAACTCAAACAGTGGCTGCACCATTTTACATTACCACCAGTCTTAACACAAGGATTCCAGTTTCAATGTACCATCACCAGTGCTTATTTTTTTCAGTAGCTCTCCTAATGAGTGTGTCTCCTTATGGTTTTGTTTGCATTTCCCTAATGATTAGTGATGTTGAACATCTTTTTTGCATGCTTATTGAACATTGTTATATTTATAGAAATATCTAGTCAAGTCCTTTACCCACTTTTTCATTGGGTTGTCTTTTTTTGAGCTCTGTATATTCTGGGTATTGACTCCTATTAGATAATATAATTCACAGATATTTTCTCTCATTGAGTAGGTTGATTTTCACTCTTTGGAAAAGTCCTTTTTCAGTTTCTGATTGGATTGATATGGTAATGAGTTTTAGGAGTTCTTTATGTATTCTGGATATTAATGCCTTATCAGATATGTGATTTGCAAATGTTTTCTCCCATTCTGTGGGTTTCATTTTTACTCAATTAGTCATCTTTTGATGCACAAACATTTTTAGTATTCATAAAGTCTAATATGTCTGTTTTTTTCCCTTGTTGTCTGTGATTTTGGTGTCAGGTTATTATTGCCAGATTAAGTGGTATGAAGTTTTGCCCTGTGATTTGTTGTAAAAGTTTTATAGTTTCAGCACTTAGGTTTAAGTTTTTGATCCATTCTTAGTTAATTTATTTATATGCATATTAGGTAAGCATCTCACTTCATTCCTTTGCATGTGGAATTCCAGCTCACCAGCACCATTTGTTGAATAGACTTTGCTATTGAATGGTCCTACAACTCTCATCTTTATTATTTCAGCAGTCTATGAGTTTATTTCTGGGATCTGTATACCATTATACCAGTATCACCTCATTTTGATTACTGTATCTTTACAGGAAGTTTTGAAATCAGGAACTGTCAGTCCTATAATTTTATTCTTCTTTCTCAAGATTGTTATGCTATTGTACACATATATATGCATGGAGGAAAAAGAAGGGAGAGAGAGATGATTTTTTTTTAATATTTGTAGTTATCGATGAACACAATACCTCTATTTAATTTATTTTTTAATGTGGTGCTGAGAATCAAACCCAGTGCCTCACACATGCTAGACAAGCACTCTGAGCCACAACCCCAGCCCAAGAAGAGAAAATTTGAAGGAATTGATTCACATGATGATGGAAGCTGAAAAGTCTAAGATGTAGTCAGGAGGCTGAAGACCCAGGAAAGCAGATAGTAGAAGTTCCAGTCCAAATCTGAGTCCAAATGCATAATACTAATGTCTCTGCTCTCGGGCAGTCAGGCATTGAAAATGAATTATCCTTTACTCATTAGCTTTTATTCTATTCAGGCCTTCAATGGGTAAATCTCTCTTACTCATTGTACTGATTCAAATGTTAATCCTATCTAAACACCTTCACTGATATATTAGAATAAAGTTTAACCAATATCTGGGTGCCTGGTAGTGTACTCAAGTTAACAAAAAATTAACCCTCACAGTGTATTGTCATTTTAACTATTAAGTCTTAAGAATCTGCCCATACAGAACATCTTTCCATTTAATTAGATATTTAATTTTGTTCAAAAATGTTTTTGTGTAAGTTTTGCACTTCCTTAGTTAAATATATTCCTAAGTATATTTTTGATGCTATTGCAAAGGAATGGCATCCTTAATTTCCTTTGTAGAACGTATAGAAATATAATTGATTTTTGCATATCATTCTTGGATCCTGCAGCCTTGCTGGACTTGTCAGCACCAATAGATGTTTCTGTGGATCTCTTAGTATTTTCTATGTATAAGACCATTTCATCTGCAGATGTTTTACTTTTTCTCCCTAATCTGAAAGCCTTTTATTTCATTGTCTTGTCAACTGCCTTGGTTGTAATCTCCAATGCAATATTTAATAGAAATGACAAGGGCAGTCATTCTTGTCTTATTCCTTATCTTAGAGGAAAAGTTTTCAGTTTTTCAGCATTAGGTATGATGTTAGATGTGGGTTTTTAAAAATTGCTGTTTATCATTTTGAGGAAGTTCTCTTCTATTCCTAGTTTGTTCAGCTTTCTTTTTTTTCTCATTAGAGGATGTTATATTTTTTAAATACTTTTATGCATTTATTGAGACAAGCAACAGCTTTTGTCCTTCATTTCATTAATAAGGCATATGACAGTAATTTTCATGTGTTGACCCAAACTCACATTCCTTGGACAAATCCTCCTTAGCAAAGTTTTTCAGTGTCCCCAAGAATACCCTCAAATTCAGTAATTTGCTAAAGGGCCTCAGAAATCACTGAAAGCGGGGCTGGGGTTGTGGCTCAGTGGTAAAGTGCTTGCCTAGCACATATGAGGCACTGGGTTCAATCCTCAGCATCACATAAAAATAAATAAATAAAGACATTGTGTTCATCTACAACTTAAAAATTAAAAAAAAAAAAAAAGAAATCACTGAAAGCTGTTATAATCACAGTTATGGTTTATCACAGCAGAATGATACAGGTTAAAATCTGCTAAAGGAGAATCTCATGGGATGTTTCCAGAGAGCTCCAGATATAGCAGTTCTAGCTGACTTCTCCCAGTGGAGCTGTGTAGATAGCCCTTACTTTTCCTGACAGCGATGTGGGAGAAATGCACTTAGGCTGTTGTCAACCAAGGAGGTTTACCTGAATCTGGTATCCTGAGTTTTTAGGTTGGCCTGAACCACATTATTTCAATCTCTCAGGTTAACAGTGACACTATTTTTAGCAAGACATTTCCAGAGCTTAGAGGTAATGTCACAGGAGCTACAGGCAAATGCCAGTCTTCTCTTTGGGCAACATTAGTTCTTTACTGCATAGCCATGGTAAGTAATTGTTTTCGTGAGCTACAAGAATTAGTTTGTTAATATTTTATTGAGGATATTCATAAAGATATTGATCTTTAGTTTTTCTTTATTTGTGATGTCTTTGTTTTGGAATCAACGGAATTCTGATGTCAGAGTAAGTTAGTGTTCTCTGTTTTTTGAGTTTGTAAAGGATTGATATTATTATTTAAACATTTGGTAGAATTTGGTGATTTTTCTCTGTTGTTTTGTTTTCATGTATTGATTTCTGTCTTCATTATTTTCTGATACTTTCTTTGGATTTATCTTGCTCTTTTGTTTATTTTTTCCTGAACATTTCAGTGGATGCTTAGTTTCCAGATTCTTCTCTTTGTCGTGTATGCATTTTACTGATTTCAAATACCTTTTCAACACTGCTTTGAATGTGTCTCATGATTGATTCATTATTGTATTTTTTACTCCAACTCTTTTTTTTTTTTACTTATTTCCTTTGGGATTTCGTTAACTCATGGATCATTTATTTAATTTCCAAATGTTTGGAGATCTTCCTTTAGTCTTTTCTCTTGTAGATTTGTAGTTTGATTTCATGTGACTGGAGAACACATTTTAGTGGTTTCCATTTTTATGTATTATGGGTTGTTTCTGGGCTCAAGAGTGTGGTCTGTCTTGGCCATGTGTTTTTGGTGTACTGTTGCTGGGCAGTCTATTCTCACTATTGGTCAGATCTTGTTGGTTGATGGGTATCATTGAACTCTGGATACATGCTGATTTTCTGTCTAGTCCCTGACCTGGTGGGTTCTTGTGTTCTCTACCAGAAGAATCAGGCAAAGGCAATGTCACAAGAACAAGCCTTCTTATTGGAGGTTTCTGCTGCATCCAAAAGGAAAACAACATTAGCCAGACTATTAGGTTAGGTTGGCTCAAGCAAAGGATAAATGTGTGCAGCTTTTATGGCATCTACAGGGTTAACAGGAACTTGGTCTCTTGATATCATCACATTTAAAGTTGGTACTTCAGTTGTGCTGCACTCTTCATTATTCTTCTTCATGTGTTGCATGCTTTTTTACTACCTTAAGTCTCCACACAAGAGACTGAGTATTATAAGGTAAAGGTAACTTAAGTGACTAATCTACACATACATTTGCCCCTTATCACTTGGGATAGTACTCAGTATTATTTGTAGAACAGAGCAGGCTGTTTTTCTTTCTCCCTGGGTTTGATGTTAATGACTTTGTCTGATTCTGATCCTTTTTAAAGTATTTCTGATGACTATATAAGTCTAAATAGCTGGGGCTGGGGATGTGGCTCAAGCGGTAGCACGCTCGCCTGGCATATGTGCGGCCCGGGTTCGATCCTCAGCACCACGTACAAACAAAGATGTTGTGTCCGCCGAAAAACTAAAAAAATAAATATTAAAAAAAAAATTCTCTCTCCCTCTCTCCCTCTCCTCTTTCTTTAAAAAAAGGAAAAAAAAAGACAAAAAAATGTCTAAATAGCTGAGGTGACTTTTTAGCTTCCAGTCTCCAGGTAAATTATCTTAATTCATAGCCTTGGAGATTATTGTTTTTTTATTTTTTTGGTATTAGAGATTGAACTCAAGGCCACTTGATCACTGAGCCACATCCCCCAGCCCCTATTTTGGTTTTTATTTAGAGACAGGGTCTCACTAAGTTGCTAAGCTCCTCACTGATGCTGAGGCTGGCTTTGAACTCACAGTCCTCCTGAGTTAGCCTCCCAAGCCGCTGGGATAACAGGCTTGTGCCACTGCACCCAGCTCACTTTATTTAATTTCTAAGTTACTAGTGTGTTTGTTAACCATATAAGGCTGAGAGCTAGTTTGATTCTCTCATTTCCCCTGAGAGGTTTTAACCACTTAATCCTATGGAATTCTGTTTTTCACGGGGGTCCCTCACTATGTCAGTTCTACCCATTATTGAGAATGGGGGGGTTGAAGTCTCCAGCTATCATTGTGAATTTATCTTTTGTTCTCTAGTCTTTGTGTTGCATATTTTGTTCTTTGAAAATTGACCCTTTTATTATTATATGATTTTTTTCTGTCTGGTAATTTTCTTTGTTGTAAAATGTACTTTATCTAACTTCTGTCCTCTTTTTTTTTTCTGAATTAATGTTTACGTAACTTTTTCTACCCTTTTTTCAACCTATGTCATTATAATCAATGTAAATTTTTTGAGTTCCTTATAATTGGGTCACATTTTTAAATCTGCTCTGCTAATTTCTCTCTTTAAGTTTGTGTATTTAGATTATACACATTTAATGTAATTGTTGTTATATCTCGGGTCTTAATTCTTCCATTTTATATTTTCCTTTCTATTTGTCCTAGGGGATTTTGGTTTTGGGGTTTCCCCCCACCCAGGGGATTTTGTTTGTTCCTTTTGTTTCCGTTCTCTTTTTCCTGCCTTCTTGTGGGTTAGAGTGGAGTTGTTGTTGTTGTTGTTGTTGTTTTCTATAGTGTTTTTGAATATATTTCTTGGAAAAGCCTTTTTAGTGGTTGCTGTATTACATTATATTTACATAAATTGCCACAGTCTTATCAGTTTCAGTGAAATACAGAAATCTTACCTCATTTTATGTTTTTCTGCTCTCCCCTTCAATATATATGGCTTATGAATCTTCTGTGCATATATTTAGAACCACATCTTTCAGTAAGAGAATTGTTGCTTCAACTATAAAACATAATTTAGAAAACTCAAAAAGGAAAGCTATTATATTTACTTACATTTTTGTTTCCTGTGTTTTTTATTCCTTCCCCTTGTTCTAAGATTCCTTCTTTCATTGCTTCCTTTCTATTGAGAAAACAAGCCTTTGCCATTGTTTTAAGGTACATCAGCTGGCAACAAATTATCTTAATTTTTCTTCTGGGATTATCTTGATTTTTCCCTCCCTCCCTCCCTCCCTCCCTCTCTCTCTCTCTTTAAAAAAAAAAAAGAAAAAAAAAAAGCTTGCCTTCATTGACACTCCTGGCCTGCAGAAGGTTGAGGTAATGTTGGTGGAGGTAAAAGTTTAGGCCCCCCCAGGAGGCCTCCATTAATATATGAATGGAGACCCTCATTCCTCCTGGGCAGAGGTTGTTAGCATCCCTCATTCAATACTTGGTCTCCAATAGCACCATACTGAGGTTGTGCCTTTTTGATGATAATGGGAGTCTTTTCCCTCCACTAAACCTCTTCTGACCCCTCTTCACCAGTGGGCAGTTGGAGGGCACCCTGATCCTGTGGGGTGCAGGTGGACTCCAGTCTCCCCATGTGTTTTTCTTTGCTTCTGTGGGAGGTGGAAGGTGGGAATAAAATCTCTATTCTCTGTTTGGCCTCACAAACCACCCTGGCAGGGTTAGGGGCTATTCCATACAGTTGTACAGGAATGGACATTTACGCTCCCTCTTCAACCTTTGGTGATATAAGTAAGGATGGGGCCATAACATTTCTGTGGTTCGTGGCTGTAAGAGAGTGCTTATTGTCTAAATATTGTCTTTTGAACCTTTCCTGGTCCTTTGTCTAGAGGGAGCAGGCTTTTGTCTGTCCTTTTTTTTTGGTCTGCACCTATAGGCATTTCTGGGTTACTGGTTCTCAGTTCCATATTTGAAATAACAGGAAATAAAAAACCCAGAAGACCCATTGCTGTGTTTCCCTTTAATCTCAAGGGTCCTAGCTGATGTGCTGTCTTCTGTTTACCTTTCAGAGATATTTGTTTTATATAAAATGACCATTGCTTTTAGTTGTGCTTAGTGGGAAGAATAAGAGAAAATATATCTTCATCTTCCTGGAGGCAGAAGTCTTCTGAGTCTTTTTTTTTTACAGGATGGCACTTGTCTAATAAAATTTTTTATTGTTTTACATTGGGTTAAAAGAATGTATTCCATGGCTAAACTAACATAAAATGCACAAATATTTTCTAAAAAGCGATAGATGGATGAACAGAATTATTTTGTTTAATATAAGAAGGTAAAACTTTTAAATCTAACCTTATTTTCTGTGCCTAGGTTGGGGCAAATACTATGGATAATCCTCTCTTGAAGTACAGTGCAAAAGATTACTTCTTTAAAGCAGCTCTCTGTCACTTTATAGTAGATGAGTTGAATGCCAAGGTAAGGAGTCTTTTTCTGATATGGTTTATCCTTGAGAACAGGTACTCTGTTGTTCTTGATGTCATTTCATGTGAGTATTAGTAGTAGCAAGATTAAACTGGGCAAATTAAAAATAATAATTTTGGGCCAGGTGCAGTAGCGCCTACCTGTAATTCCAACAGCTCAGGAGGCTGAAGCAGGAAGATTAAAAGTTCAAAGCCAGCCAGCCTCTCAGCAACTTAGGCTCTAAGCAACTCAGTGAGACCTTGTCTCCAAATAAAATATTTAAAAAGGGCTGGGGATGTGGCTCAGTGGTTAAGCATCCCTGGGTTGAATCCCCTGTACCAAAAAATAATAATAAAAATTTTATGGTTAACAACTACCAAAACAGTTCTTAAAGTTTTCCTTAAGTAATTTTGCTTTTAAAAAGAATTAGGGAACTAGGAAGGAGACAATTAAAGTAGCTAATGTTGTTTTAAGAAGAAAAAAAAAAAAAGAAAGAAAACTTAGAAATGGAGTTGGAATGCAAATTGGAAAAAGTAGAAATGCAAAGTGAAGACAAAGGCAAGGACCCAGGCAGCCTTGTTGTTCACTGGAGAGCAGAATTAAAGCCACTGAGAGAAAAATATTCTAGAGTCCTTCAACCTCAAGCAGTAATCTAAATGTGGTTTATTTGGTGTTTATACAGTGTTCTCCCATGAATGGATGAACACACACCTGGCTGTGACCTTTTGAGAATTATATTTTGACCATAATGACTTCACAGCAGCCTAATTTAAAAAAAAAAAAAGTTTAGAAATTTATTCTCAATTAAAATTGAAAATTCAAAAATAAATAGGTTTCTGTGTTGATTCTGATGTTGGGTCTAACTTATTAAACATTTAAATGGGATTGTAGATAAATCTTACTGAAATACATAGAAAATTGAAATTTTGTTTCCTAGTTTAGCAAGTCTGACACTGATGAGTGGTTTTTCCTCCCTCAGCTTGCCCTTGAGAAATATGAGGAAATGTTTCCAGCATTTACTGATTCAAGAGAATGTAAATTATTGAAAGTAAGTAATAACAGAACTTTACAGGAAAAAAAAAAACAACAACTTTGCAACACTGTAAGTGGGACTGGCTTTAAAATGAAATTTTAGTTAATAAATCTGCTAAGGGGGCCTGGTATTGTCCTGCTTTTTCATAATAGGTATTCAGATGTCATGAGGTTCAACAATGTGAGTGCTGTGTTCTGAAACAAGCAATGTGAAAATTTTAATATAAAAGCTAGAAGCCTAATTTGGATAATTCTTATACTTAAATTTCTTCAACTTTTTAAGATGCTTGGCAACGTCAGTATGATACCACGGCTATTTCTGGGTTGAAGTATCCATTTACAAATGGGACATTTTTGGCCTTAGCCAACCTAATTTCTTCATTTTTTTTTTTTTTATGTCTACAGAAACTTCTAGAAGCTCATGAAGAACAGAACAGTGAAGCTTACACTGAAGCAGTAAGTTTTACCTTTGGAATATGGTATATTTTTTGAAGGTTTATGTTACAGAAACTTTTTCATTGTGTGAGTTCTAGACTTTTATTTAAATGTGATTTTAGTTACATACCTCCATTTGTGTTTTCCAAAGTCAGACAGCCTACAGTCTTTTAACCAAGCACCATGCCGAAATTCCAATAGTATTTAGTCCTGTTTGACTTATGCTCATAACTAATATAGCTCTGAGGCTACTTCAGGGGCAAATGTCCCATACTGTTATATGGCTATTTTAATGTTTATTTTTGAAAATTATCTCATCTATAAGTAAGTATAAAGTAAATTTAGTTAAAGTACAGTTGAAAATATAAAAACCAAGTACTGGGTTTTCTATATTTGTGGTATTTTATACCACAAATATAGTTTTTTGTTTTGTTTTGTTTTGTTTTAGTACTGGAGATTGAACCCAAGAGTGATTTACCATTGAGCCACATCCCCAGCCTTTATTTTTTATTTTATTTTATTTTTTGAGACAGGGTCCCATGAAGTTGTTTTGAGCCTTGCAAAGTTGCTCAGGCTGGCTTTGAACTTGTGATCCTCCTGCTTCAGTTTGCTGAGTCACTGAGATTACAGTCATGTGCCACTGTGCCTGGCATGTTTTGTTTTTTTATGATTGTCTTCTTCCTGTTCTCCCATCTTTTGCTGTCTTATGTTTAGAATCAAGTGGATTTCTTAATGTCCTCTGTTTATATGTTCATCATATCCCTAAAGTTATAGGGAAAAGGAATGTTTTCCTGTTTAAATTTTCCTCCCAAACTAATCTCATCCTGTTATTTTATTCTTTGGTAATGCATTGAAATGCATTAAAGGAATTCTGCTTCCACACCTCCTATCTCTGCAGTTATGTTATTCTATGAACATTAAACTTTTCCATGTTTTTTCTAATTGTTACGCTACATACAGTTTCTTCCATCACATTGAGTGTACTCCTCCAGTTATAATTTTTGCCGTGTGTGTTTGCATACAGAGCAATATAAAAGCACAGGAACTTGTCACTAGTACCATCAAAATAATCTCAGGGTGGGACTGGGGCTTTGGCTTAGTGGTAGAGTACTTGCCTAACACACATGAGGCACTGGGTTTGATCCTCAGCACCACATAAAAATGAAATAAAGATAGTGTGTCCACCTACAACTAAAAAATAAATATTTTATTTATTATTTTTTTAAATACTTTTTTAGTTCTAGATGGACACAATACCTTTATTTTATTTATTTATTTTTATTTGGTACTGAGGATCAAACCCAGTGCTTCATGAGTGCTAGGCAAGCGCTTTACCACTGAGCCACAACCCCAGTCCTAAAAAATAAAATTTTTTTTAAAAAATAGTCTCAGGATAATGAAAAAAAATAATTTTTAATGAAAAAAGTTATAAACTAGAATGAATAATTTCTAATGAAGAGTGTTGGTGGTTGTTATAAAATATTTGAACAGTGCTTTGTTCAAAACTTTAAAAAAACACTGTTTTTTAAAGAATTGTATACGACATTCAGGTGGGATTTATTTCATTGTTTTGCACTTTGAATGTATTTCCATGGAATAATCTCTGTTCCTCTTTCCTTAAAATAGGTGAAGGAGTTTGACTCAATATCACGCCTGGATCAGTGGCTGACCACCATGTTACTTCGTATCAAAAAGTCCATCCAAGGGGACGGGGAAGGAGATGGAGACCTAAAATGAAATGTTTATGTCTTTGTGGCATGCAGCTAACTCCTTTAGTTTTGTCTTAGGGCCAAGTGATCTTTATGGGATGCCCATTTAATGGCTTAATTTTGTTGCATATGAGCCAGTCTGTGTGTATTGTTCAAGCTCACCACTTCTGTGTTACTGTGAAATGGTCAAATTGGAGGCTCCTCCTGTTCATGTGGTTATGACAACCAAAGTATATTTCATGCTTGTCAGTATCCCCACAGTTTTCTTTAAGAAGAACTTCAGAATCTTATCCCTGTTCTTTTGATATTTACAGATCCCATGTTTGATGTTGCCACATGTTTTTATGTGTTTTTTCTTGGACTGTAGTCCTCTATCCAATTGTTCTAAGAGATGCTTTGCAAATACTCTGTATATTGGGCATCTAGATGTATTTAAATGTGTGTGTTTAGTTCAGGTAGTTATTAGGAATGCGTTTTTAATTTCGTTAGAAATTGTTTATTTCTGTTCTGTGATTATTTTGACGGTGCTAGTGACAAGTTTCTTTGCTTTTTGTATTGTTCTGTATGCTCACATATGCATGGCATAAATTTTAGAGCAGCTGGGATCTTGTTGGCATCACTTGCATTGTGAGGAAAAGAAGTCTCTGGTAAGTACTTTTTTGTATATGGATAAATGTCCAGGTGGACTTGATAATTTGGCCTGAACACACACACTCAAATATGTAAGATCTATGAAAGATAGAATTTTTCTTTACCCACCTTTAGTTGGGGTGGAAATCCCTTTCTTTACCTTTGCATAAAAGTGTTTTAAATCGTTACATCCTTTTCTTCATTTTCATATGTATATACTTACCCACATTGAGCTGTTGAGCTTCCCTTGAGCTGCCCTATTTGCCATGATTGTGTGAATCTTGATCAGGGCTGAATGGGTGATCCCAGTTGGAGCTTGAGAATATTTGTGATTCTCCTGTTCAACATGTAGATTAGGTGGGGTCAACATGGCACAGAAGTTTATGCCTGGTTGGGCAAGAACCCTGTGTCTGAGGAGACTTGGTTTTTCATTGATGGATCTCTGTCCTACTTGCTTGGCTTACATAACATATATATGTTCTCTTGATTTGAGAACTTTATCCCTAGTTACTTTATATGCAGATAATGTACTATAGAAATGGTCTTGTTTTCTGAATCTTCTTTGTATATTTTATGCTGAAATGATTTGTTTGAGGTGCATATGTTGCCAGACATAACTCACAGTCCTTTCTAAATTGTGCTGCTGTCATGAGTGACAGTTATGAAACTTCCTGTGTTTTGTCAAAATAGTAGGTTGTATTGCAATGGTGTTCTCATTTTTGGATGGCCCCTTCACTTCGACTGCTGAAATGTGATTGAGTAGAAGTGAATGGATATTACCAGGTCAGGGGCTGAGTGAGGAGAGTTTGAGGATAGGTGAGTAGCTTGCGTCAGCCTAGGTTAAAAGAGGAAGTGAGGGAGATCAAGTTGGAAAGGGCCCATCAAAAAGGACCTGCAAAGACTTTGTGACCCAACATGGTGGTTATATGCATGAGGTGTCCTGGGAGAGCAGAAAGCTCAGTGATGTCAGTGTACTCGTAGAAGTGGAGGAAATGGGCCCCAGACGCCAATGAAGATTCCCTCTTTCTTTAAAATATCTGGGGTTCTTAAGTAAAAAGTGGTTATCTCTGAAAACTAAATTTGGAGTGAGCCTGTTGATGCTTCTTGACTCCATGTTAGAATTGGTTCTTGTTGTTGTACCTAATGTGTTCTTCAGCCCACCACATGATGTTTGTGAAAACAAGGTGTTGGGAGTAGTTCTGTAGCTCAGGTCTTCTGGGTCTGAGTCAATTCTAGGAGGAAAGCATTTGAATACCAGCCAGTGTGTTGTGTCAGCACTATTCAAGAAGTGTGTGTCCACTTGTTAAAAAGAGAACTGGTCTGATCATTTAAAGTAAAAACCAAGTGATGCCTTTTAGGGCAACCATTTAACTTTCAGCATGGTCCCCTAACTGACTCCTGTCTGAAGAAGAAGCATTTAAAAAAAAAAAATAGTGTTTGTATCATTTTGCTATGCTGATCAGAGAGTCTCTTGTTTGTATTAAAACAAATTCTGGGATCAGTGTCTGGGTTAAGAAACAATTTTTGTTTTTAATATTTCACATTAAACAAACAAAAGTAATTATAATGTTAATAACAAACCTGCTAGAAGACAAAAGGAAAATCAGAAGAGCCCAGACAATAGTGTGCAAACTCACTTTCTTCAAATGTCCCATGAGTACAGTGGTATGTCTCAAGATGCCTAGAAGTTAGGCTTTCCACACTTGTAGTTATTTATGAACAAAATAGAATGATCATTTATGTAACAGTTCTTGTGCTTTAGCAAATCTGGGTTAGTTCACAGTTGAATTCAGTTCAAATTTCTTACAGGAAAGCTTTGCTTTTTGTGGCAACATTTTTATATAAGCTTGTGTGAATTCCTTTTTTATTTAATGATCTGAACACAGTATTTTTGCACAATTGTGACCATGTGTGGTGGTGTCACTATAACCAAAGTCTATGCACCAGCCCTTGTGCATTTATTCTTCCCTCTGGTATTATGCATTTAAAATGTCCAAATCCAAACCTTTGTGACTTTCTTTGGAGGACCTGGCAGCACAGCATGCCCCCGTGACCTGCCCGCTGTGGTGTAACCAGTAGCAGGCTTCCTGCCCTGTGACGTCCTGAGTTGCTCTCAGGCAGGGGATTACATTATGAAAACTAACCATGTAACATTAAACCTACCCTAGCAGAAAGAATGTTTTATGTGAACCTGTACAGTAAATAAAGTGGAAATTATGAGTAATATTTTGACTAGTTTTTCTTAGCAAAATTGACACAGATCAAAAGTAGCTTCCTTTCCTTCAAATTGTCCTGTCATTGTCTAAGGCTGTGCCATTAATATTCTGTAGGCTCTTTGAACCTCAGTCACTTGATGGCACCTTGAGGCACTGCAGTGATTTTTGCAGGGTGAGCTTTTTTTTTTTAATATTTTTTATATATATGGACCTTTATTTTATTCATTTATTTATATGTGGTGCTGAGGATCAAACCCAGTGCCTCACACATGCTAGGCAAGTGCTCTACCACTGAGCCACAATCTCAGCCCAAGGGTGAGCTTTTTGATTTTGATTTTGATTTTGATTTTTTTTTAAGGACACAATGCCTTCATTTTATTTATTTATTTTTATGTGGTGCTAAGTGAGCTAGGCATTCTACCGCTGAGCTGCAACCCCAGCCCCCAGCCTCAGGGTGATCTTTTTAGAAAGAAGCCATGGTGCCTTCTTGTTGATGCAGGATACTAAGTGTGCATAGTAACTGCTAACTTCCCCTTCTCGTACTTCTTGAATCCTTTGGGCTCTGTAGTTACTTGCAAAGTTGAGGGAGGAATCTCTTTGCTAGAAAACTGTTAAGCTGGACGAGATAAGGAACCCCAAAATCGGATTGCCCCCCACCTCCCCAAGAAAGTAAGGTGATTTGAGCAGTGTGGGCATTTAATTGAATCTTACAGTAGATGCCTCTGGGAAAGGGTCATGCTCAGTGACCACTAGGACCTGAAGTTCTGGGGAGGAAGAGGACCTGTGGGGGACAGTATAAGCCAACTAATCCTATCATCCTCTCATGGAGCATTAACTTTGGGTCCTAGAGCATATTCACAAGCAGAGCACAGCAGCACATACCTGTAATCCCAATGACTTGGAAAGCTGATGCAGAAGGACTTTACAAAATATAAAAGGCTAGGGATGTAGTTTAATGGTATAATACTCTTAGGTTCAATCCCCAGCACCACAATAAATATATATTATACATATATACACATACACACACGCTTGTGTGTGTATGTATATATATATTTTTTTCATATATTTATAAATACATATATTTATGTTCATTTTTTAAATCAAAGTGAATTTTTAAAAAATGAATGACCATTCCAATAATTCTGAGAAGTTGACATTTGAAAGTCTAATCTTCCATATGTGTCTTTTTCAGAGTCAGTTTCCTAACAGAAGTCTTGTGCACCTTCATCAGAGTTCTATACAGATGGTCTTAGTGAATGGTTTCTGAGGCTGTTCAGGGGACATGATGGATGGCTCTGGCCTTCTCCGTTCCATCTGCTCCTCTTCAGTTGCATGTGAACAAAAGCCCTTTGCACGAGTACACTTCCCAGCTGAAATAAGTGACTTCACTGCCCAAGTAGTAAATGCCATTGATTTCCAAAAATGTTGAAGTCCTCGTATGATAAGTATATGACAGATTAGTTATAACAGGCTAAAACTAAGGTATAATAACTTAAATTATTGGAGAATCTTACCAACAGCCAAAACCTATGAGGTTTCCCCCCACTTTTTCCAAACTCTATACAATAAAATACTTGATCAAACCAAAGATTGCAGAGCCCTGCGGAGTTCGGGCTAGTATTATTTCACACAAAATGGTTGGAATGGTACCAGATCACCTCCTCAATGACTTTTTTTTTTTTTAAAGTTTTTAGTTTTAGGTGAGCGCGCTACCACTTGAGCCACATCCCAAGTCCAATGACCTTTATTTGACATCCTTTAGAAGCAACTTACATACCAGCATCCAGACACTGTCTTCTTAAATGCTTTGGACTGACATACTGAGTGGCCTTGTTTGTACTCTGTGTGGCTATGCTTGGATTGACACAGAGGAGATGTCTCCCTCCCCACAAAGTCTTCTGTAGGTTTTATGGAGTTCTGTGTTTTCACATATCCTATATCCTTCCAGGAAGGGGATAAAGAAATTTGTGTAGTTAAAAGTCATCTCTGGGGGCTGGGGTTGTGGCTCAGTGGTAGAGTACTAGCATGCCTAGCACGTTTGAGGCACTGGGTCCGATTCTCAGCACCGCACGCAAATAAATAAATAAAGGTCCATCAATAACTAATAAATTTTTTTTTAAAAGTCATCTCCGATATCTACTATAATCTATTGAAGAGCTAGTCAACGGGCAGCCTTGTACTTATACCTTCCCTAGCAGGACACCAGCTTTTATCTGAGCAGCAGATAGTGTTTCCTCCTCAATTCTAAAGACTACTATGGAATAAAATATTCTTAGACTACTACATAAAGGTTTACACATCCTGATTTCATATCTCATTTGTGCTAAGCAAATTATATTTGTGTCAGCTAAGAATCTTATATTATTTCTATAGACCCTGTTATAATACAATACACTTAGAACTGCAGAACTACTTTAGCAAAGCAGACATTTATTAACACAATAATTTCATGTAGAACTTCTAAAGAAATTCCAGACAAGAATTCTTCCAGTAGGTAACAAAATAAACTATTTTAAATTCCTTCTCATAAAGATGACTTTATTCCATAAACAGTACATGGGCTGAGCAGGTTCAGTCTCCTTCACCAATATTAAAAACGGTTGTATGACAGTCACTATTTTGATTCTGTAAACACAACTAGGATATGATGATGTGGTCATAACTGAGTTTGGAGAATTCAGTCTTGTGACCTTCAAGAGCAGGTGTGAAACAGCACCTGAACACCCCAAGGTGACTTCACTAGTTACTTGAACATGTTAACACGAAATGAGCAGTGAGGAAGAAACCGTCCCTCAGTTTGTCATAGTGCAGCTCTGTCTTCATTGTAAGAACAAGGTACCTTTCTCTTGGAAAATCAAAATGTTTTCACAGTGAATTTAATAAATTAACATCAGGGGGAAAGCAAGTAGGAAATGAGAATTCTCCTTCAAAGTGCTCTTAAAATGAATGTTTAAGGATTACATGGGAAGCAAAGCATTTCGCAAGCACACACCACACACCCAAGGCCCCGGAACCATATGTCAGGAGTAGCAAATACAACAGAATCCTCTTTTCATTGTGAATTTTTTCAAGCAATAAATTAAGTCCAGCATGAGACAGCCAAAGGAGCCTCTAAGGCAGTTAGGGGTTCTGTATGATCTGCTCATTAAGGCATAATCTGAGATGAATGTGCCAAGGCTTTTGTTCCTGTACAGATTCTTGCATGCTCCCAAGGAAGCAGGTTTGTGGCAGTTGTTTCAATCTCCTGATGTGGAAACGAGGAAGTCTGGGTTTCTGGAAATTACAGAAATGGCAGAAAACCTAGCAAAAATACTAATACTCTGCATTCTAAGATCTGCCACAGTCACCTTATTTTGCTATTTGTGAATAACTACCCAATGTTCAAGTGCTTTCTAAAGCCTCTTCCTTTTTTTTCACAACTCTGCAAAAAAAATACTACAGTTTGGCTAGACTCTTTGGTAGGATAGCTCTTACCTAATCCAGATTTTAGGAATGAAACTGAACAGCCACATTTCATTTCAAAAGTTGATTTTATGACAAACTCCCTAGCTCTATGTATGCTATGAGTAGAGAGATATACAAAGTTTTGTGAGTGTTCAATTTGTCATTCCTTTTTTCGTGCCTACAGATAGAGGGTTGAGGAATAAATACAATAATCCATTTCTTCAGTCCCATTCAAGGGTCCCCAAAGCAAATCTGATTTGCTTCAACTCAACAAGCAAGAAACAGGTGAAAATAGTTGGTCCCAATTTTATTTCAGTGTAGAAAAATACCTCAAAAGAATCAAGAGAAAGTATAAGGCAGGGTGAGACCAGGAAGACCATTAACAGTAATTTCATGTGCTGGATCAATGCTCTGTACTCTGCAATTATAATAAGCGGTGGTCTAAATATCAAGAGAATCAAGCATTAGGATGATTAGCGCATAGCATACACCAGAATTAAGGGAGCTTATGTTAACTGTCTTGTCAACAAAGTGTAGTTGAGATCATGCAGATCGGGATTTTTAAGGGAAAGCTTTTAAAAATGCTGTGATAAAGACGTGCAAGTTAGTAGAGTTTGGGAATATCTGCAGAGGTCATTCTTGCCTGCATCTTTGCACACACTCATTTATTTTTCTTAGCCCCTGGCATCATCTGGAGTATAACTATCACACACAAAGACTGCATGGCACACAACTTCAAGCTCCTACTCCATGTTGGTCAATGAGGGAAGCTGTGTGGACACTGAGTCTGTTTGTGGAGTCAGCTCACTAAGCTCACTGATGGTAGTGGCAAGCAGAGAGTCCTGGGACACCACCGGGTCTTCCACTTTGCAGACTATGTCTGCAGAACTGTTCTCAGGCACAGTAGGCACACCACCTTGGACTGTGGCCAGGTTGTGAAAATGGCCATTTTCTGCAAAAGACAGCAATTTATCTGGAAGTTTGGGTGATGCATATTCTTCATCAGGCTGCTCCATCTTGTGTTCTTCATCATTCTTGGGTGAACCATCTACAATAACAAGGAAAGACTTCCATGGAGTATTCTTATCGTGTATCTACAAATCAAACACAAACAAAAGTCACTTCATGTGTCTGTACATTTCCCGTTAACAATGTATACAGATACCTTGTTAACAAGTACATTTAAAAAAATAAAAAAGAAATCAAGATTCTCTCCAACTTAAAATTAGTTTCCCCTGCAGTGAAAAATCTTCTAACTGCAAAACACCTGCTTATCACCAGTGTCACAGTTGGATATTTGCCATGAACTCTGTTCACTCTATACTCACTGCAGAGAACACCTGAGCTGTTGCGGCCTCTAACCCTTACTGGGAAATGACGTCAGGTATTTCTGGCTGTTCAGGGTTATGTATCTAAGGACCAGCAGTGTTTTATTCTCAAATAGGCCATTCCATCTCTTACTGTGGTGTGCCTCCGGAGAGTGGACTTGTCAGTAAATGTCCGTCCACATGCATTACACATGAATGGCTTCTCTCCAGTGTGGATACGATGGTGGCGCTGGAGGGCGTTGAGCTGGGTGAACTGCTTCCCGCACTGGTCACAACAATAGGGCCGCTCCCCTGAGGCAGGAAGAGAACAAACTATTGAGTGATCTCACCTTTTCACCTTCTGAAGTTAATTCTGAATACACTCCAGAAAAGTCTGTCTGCAGACCCCAGGAAAACCTCAACATTCCCACATACACAAAGCTAGTAATTCCGGGGCTAACCATGAGACACGCCAATTGACTATAATATCGAGTTTATGCCAACACCAAAAACAGACCAGAATTCATTCCTACAGCTGTTATATCTTTAGAAATGACAATTATTTTCCACGGTAAAGAAATACAAAATTGCAAATCCCCTATTAACTGAATTTGTGTACATGTTTGTATATATACACTAATAGATCATTATCCTTATTTATACTAAAATATGAATATCCATATTGAAATATTCATTCATGGGTAAGGTGTCTGCCCTTTCCAGTAAAAACCACACAGCAAAGGAACTTGGTTGTCCCCTATTTGCCCATGTAAGTTCTTCTACTTTCCAGTTTCTCAGAACCAGAAATTAGGGGAAAAAAAATGTTTGGAAGGATACTGGGGATTGAACTCAGGGGTACCTAATCAACGAACCACATCCCCAGCCTGTTTTATTTTTTGAAACAAGGTCTTACTAAATTGGTGAGGCTAGCCTTAAACTTGTGATCCTCCTGCCTCAGCCTCCTGAGTCAATGAGATTACAGGCATGTGCCACCACACCCAGCTAAAAACTCAGTTTAAAAAAAAGAAAATGCTGTGACATAACAGTTTGGCCACTTTTCTCCTTAAGCTTTTCTAGTAAATCTAAAAAATTGCAGCGTTTTTCTTGCTGAACCAAACTCCCTTCCTTCCCTGGGACCCTGCAGCCATACCTGTATGGACTTTATTATGCTGGTAAAGTGAATTCCGCTGGGCAAAAGTCCTGAAACATACTTCACATTTAAAGGGTTTGGATCCAGTATGGATTCTATTGTGGTGTTTTAAGTACTCCTTAGAAGCAAAACTCTTGCCACACGTTTCACACATAAAAGGCCTTTCACCTATATGAAAAGACAAAATACAATTATAAACAATACAGGCTTTCAAAATGCATGGGAATAGTAGGTCCACACTCAAAACCCTGGTGGGCAGCATGTTACACTTTCTAATTAAAACCATTATAAAACATTTATTCACATAAGATGCTTGCTACTTGCTGAAAGTCAGTATAAAATACCCTTGGAAATCCAAGAAACATTCCACTAGACTGGTTAAAGAGTTACCATTCAGCCAGCTCACATTTTAAAATGTCATTCTAAACAAGAAAATAATTTCACAACTTCTTTTTAGAGGACTTTTTGGATTGTTTTCAAAGAAACACTTTCTGTGGACTTTTATCAGAATAGGTCTGATAGAAAAGTTCCTCTCCTTTTAAGAAGGAATTTTTGTGTGATAAAAGGAGAAGTTTACATGGATTTATAAATGTAACTTCTAGAGTAACAAGTGCATGGGCTGGGGATGTGGCTCAAGCGGTAGCGCGCTCGCCTGGCATGCGCGCTCGCCTGGCATGCGCGCTCGCCTGGCATGCGCGCTCGCCTGGCATGCGCGCTCGCCTGGCATGCGCGCGGCCTGGGTTCGATCCTCAGCACCACATACAAAAACAAAAGATGTTGTGTCCGCCAAGAACTAAAAAATAAATATTAAAAATTCTCTCTGTCTCTCTCTCTCACCTCTCTCTTAAAAAAAAAATAGAGTAACAAGTGCAATTGACTGGACTGCAGGAAAATCTTCAATACCATCTCATTTTTTGTAGTTTAAATTCTTTATTCTTACAACTTGTATTCATCTGTAGGTATGCCCCTGATTTCACAAACATCCAAATAAAAATATTGGCTTTAATAAAAGCTTAATATGAATAGTTTCATCAAATGACCAATTCTAATTTATTCTTTGATGTGTCCTGACACTGTCCCCACCCAGCTTCCATTAGACACCAATTCTACTCATTCTACATCATGAAATACCTCATCTCTGTCTTGCGTGCATCTGAACTTGAGGCCTGTATGACAGTGCTTAGAAGTGAAACATGTAAGCCAAGAAGGAACTGGATTACTAGAGTAACTATGGTACACAATAGTTAGATTCTGTAAACATTTGTGTAGTTTACAAAATTCTGAACCTCATAGTCACTGTTGAACCAGAATAAAGCCAATTTGAACTTTTTCCTTCATATGATAAAATCATATCAAAAAGACTTTGGAAAATAGGAGATTATCCCACCGCCTAATTCACCAATTTATCATATTGTAATTTATTTTCTTCTTTTATATGCAGGTTTTCAATATAGTTGGGAGTAACTGAGTTTATTAACTGAGCATTTTGAAATTCAACAACCAAGTCCATAAGTTTTTTTTTTTTTTTCATGCCATTCAGAGTCCTTATTCTGAATGGCCAAGTTATGAGCCAAGGAATGGATTCACCAGAATTTACTGAACCATTTCCTTACATTAATTTGGACAATCAGGTTGTTTCCAATTCTATGTTATTAAAAAATAGCAAGAGCAACCATAACAGCATATAGCTTTTTTCATATGTTAAGCAATTTATTCATGCAGATTCTGGGAAATGGAATTTTAGACTATGCCACCAGTAAGAACTGTTTTATACCTCTCAACATCTAAGACCGATATGCCAGATCCTATTGCCTGGTGGTATAGAGGCCATGGCCACAAGCACATGAGCACTGCAGACAACAGGTGCATTTTGATTCATTTTTTACAGTAAGATGGAAAAACTATAGTGTGGCTTTAACCTGGACTACTTTGGTAGATGCCAACTTCTAGTCAATTGCAGTTCCCTTCTACAGCTAGGAAAGACATTCAATCACAACAGCATGGGTATTTACCTGTGTGGCACCTTTTATGATAAATCAGCATGTGGTTCTGAGTGAATCTTGCACCACATTCATCACAGACAAAAGGTTTTTCCCCTGTATGAATTCTGAAAGTACAACATTCAGATGATAACTTAGGGTGTATTTCAAAGCTCACTTTGCAATACAATTTCCACTCTATCCTGCAAAAATCGTTTTCTCCAAGAGACCTGATAAGAATAACCTAAAGGAAAGGTCAAGAACCCATATCGCCATCCCAAAATAAACGCAGTTTCTGTGGAAGGCCAATAGATCAACACATAACCATTTGAGTTCACATCCCAATGTGGAATCACTGAATATCATCCACGTCATGCTATAATGCAAGAGCATAGGGAGCCCACACCTTGATGTATATTTTAGAACACTAAAGAGTGTCCTCTAATATTGGTAAAGCTTCCTCATTCAGAATCCACCACAAGCACCTTAGGAACTGTTGCTGACAAAATACCACATGACCAGAAATTTTACCATTATTTCCTAATATGACATGACCAGTCTCAAAAGGAGAGCTGTTCTCAAACTGCTTGAAGGAACCTATTTTCTGAGGAGCATACAAGAGCATTTTAATTTTACAACCAGCATGATGAAGCAATCAACCATACTTTACTGAGCACTTCTTAAACAATTATTTTAAACTTAAGAGTAAAAGATGACAAATGTCATGTCACCACCCCAGAGACTGGCCTAGGTTTGAAGTCAGACCTAGAACAGGTTAGAAAATTTAACTGCTTGCCTAGATTTTGAAAGTATACATTAACTATAAGGAAACTTATTTAAATACTGACCACCTCCCACCTAGAGTTCAAAAACAAACAGGAAACATGGTCTGCCCTGATGCTGGAGTTTAACCATAAAGCACATTTTCCAAGCCCAATGAACTTAATAAGACAAAGAAGAGTTCTGAAGAGATCATCTAACTGAGCTCTTTAATGGGATTGTGGGACCCAGCTGGTCATAGAACCCAGGTTTCAAATAAAGTGTCAGGGAAAGCCCATAAGGGTAATTAGCTCCAACTCTTCAAGTATGAAGGGGACTATAACCATCACAGGTAGGCAGCACATGCCAGGTGAGACTTCCAGGTGGGGGTTGTCAATGTCCCCTGCAGCAGTATGGTAGCTCTATTCTGTGTCCAGGATTCTGTGCCTGGACATGTCAAGGCTGACAGTGGAGGGTCTTCACTGGCTCAAGGGCCTTGTGAGTTGAGGAGCCATCTCTCTGAGCCTCTCTACCTCCAAAGAGAATTCTAAACTTTCTCACACCAGTCTCCCCATTCTTAGAGGAAACCAAATAAGAAATGAACAATCCAGACAGCCACACCACACTGGTCCAAATCCCAGAACCATCTCAGTTTCCCAACACTCATTTCAAGAATGGTTAAGTCCCTACAAACCAGCCAGTCCTGCCAAGGGTGCTGGCCCTGGGCGGCCAAGTGATTGGGTGCCACCTACCTCATGTGGGTCTTGAGCGCTGAAGGCTGCGAGAACTTGGCACCACACTCTGTGCAGCTATAGGGCCTGTCGCCCGTGTGTGTCCGCTCATGCAGCCTCAGCGCCGTCTTGGAGCTCAGGCCCTTGCCACACTGGACACAGCGGTGACGCTCACCACCACCCTCGTGCACCTGAACCACGTGCCGCTTTACATCCTTCTTGCGCTTGAACTTCTTCCCACATAGCTCACAGGGAAAGTGGCGCTCGCTGCTGTGTACATGGCGCTGATGGCTCTTCAGGTTGCAGCGGTTGGCAAAGGTTTGGCAGCAGGTGTCACAGCGGTACACCACCTCAGTGGCAACGCCATGGTGGTGCTTGATGTGCTTCAGGAAGCTCTTCTCGTACAGAAACGCCTTCTCACAGATAGAGCACTGAAAGTTGCTCTTCTTTTTCTTCTCTAACTCTTCTCCCTCTTCCTCCTCTTCCTCCTCCTCCCCAGCTGCTTTTGGCAGCACTTCCTCCAACTCCACACCAGTACTATCACCCTGGATTTTTGCAACTGGCTCCATCTCTGGTTCCACACTGTCTGGGCTTTGGTCCTGGGAAAAAGTATAATTCTCAGCTTCATCCTCAGCACTTTTTTGCTGCTCCCGGAGTCTTCTTGTGTACTTCTTTTTAGGGATTTCCACAAATACCTTTCTTCCAGCCAGCCTTCCACTAGCTCTTCTGATTTTAGGGTAAGGAGGCTTAGCTACATCTTTCTTTTTGTCTAGTTTCTCCTTGGACTTCCTCGGTGGCATATCAGGTGACATGCCATTGCTGATTCTCTCCACTGGGGAATCTGGAGAATCCACAAGGCCATTGGAGTGGGTACCATCAAGGCCTGTACTTGCCCTAGAGTCTGCAGCAACACCTACCTGGGAGCCATTGCTCACCTCAGCTTCCTGAGATTCAGAGAAATTCTGCAATTCCAAAAGGACTGACTCTAACATCTGTTTCTTTAACTGGAAACAAGTTTCTGAAAGGTCCAAACATTTTAGCTTTTCAGCCATTTCCAGCATCCGCTGTACCCGATCTTCTTCCACCTGTACCTTGGCAGTGTAGACAAACTCCAGAAATGAAGCAAAGTCAACAACCTGTACTTCATTTAAGTAGACATTAGTTCTGGTACCATCCTCACTCTTCTCATTAAGGAACATTTCCTTAAAAAACTTGCTGGTGGCTGCCAGCACTGCTTTATGGGCCACAAAGTCTTCCCGGACACCTTGATACTCCACACTGACTGTGACGTCACACAGGTGACCCAGAAGGCGGAGCTCATGCATTTCATGAAGAAGGTTAAACGGTGAGGATTTGGATTCCAGCAGAACTGCACCACTTTCCATCTTTCCAAAAACAGCTTTGAAAACAAAAGCAAGAATTATTTTATGCATGAGCAACCACTGAGGTAAAAGGACTAGAGATTATGAGGATTATTTCAGTTCTTTAGAGGATATACACTGATTAACATCATAGCTTCTCGTTTTTTGAAGTGAACTTCCTGATGCACTTTTGTAAGATAACATTTGCATGAAAAGCAAACTGCCAAGGGCTGGGGTTGTGGCTCAACATGTGAGGCACAGGGTTTGATCCTTAGCACCACATAAAAATAAATAAATAAAATAAATGTACTGTGTCCAACCACAACTTAAATAAATAAATAAATAGATAGATACATAGATAGATAAATAAATAAAAGAAAAATTGCCAAGATTTTCCCCAATGATTGAAGTCATAACTAGTGGAATGCACTAAAGCAGTAATTTGCTTATCAAGATCAATGAAACACATGGCTGCCACTGTCTTAAAAGCAAACCTTACAGAAACACTGCCACTGGAAACAATCAACTAAATAAAGCACTACTTTCCAGGAGGAAAACTTCCTGGAAAAGTAGTTTACAATTTCATCCCCACTTCCAACACCCCTAAACACCTGTTAATTTGCATTACCATTACTCTGCTAAAATAATGCAAGTTCCATAGCTTTTACTGTATTACCTTAAGTAAGTAACTTAACCTCTGTAGCTTAATCTCCTCCTCTGTAGAAGGCTCACAGGTTACTGTAAATCTTCAATGAATGCAGTATGTTAAGTCATTACAGCTGTGCCTGGAATTTGCTGGCTAGTTATTGCTGGCTTCCTATGTGCAGACAAAGGTAACACTATGATCCCCATTTCACAGATGAGTAACTGACTAGTTGGTCTGGACTTGAACCTGGGCCCAGTGGGACTCTGGACCCAAATACAACTGCTCAAAACACACTTCACCTCAGTCTCACCAAATAAAATTTAAAAAAAAAAACAACAAAATCTACTTTTACCCTCTTTCCACCATAGCAACATGCAGTCCCAAGCCTCCATGAGACCCCACCCTGTCTTCATTTCTTCTGCTACCAGCTCTAACTCTTTCCACAGACTCCTTAAACATGTGCTTTCTCCTCAAGGTTCAACCCAATCTTCTGCTCTTAAATCTACTTCTTCCTCCAAGTTCACTTTGGTCCCTAGGTCTCCATCATCCAAGGACTCCCCACCTTCCTTCTAACCTTTCACTTAGATGTCATCTCAGATTCAAAATGTTTAAAGCAGGACTTGTCACTGTCTCTGAAAAACCAGTCCCACCCTTCTCCTGTCCCATCAGTGATACTGCTACCCACAGCCACCAGCCCCCAAAACATGGAAAAGACCACCCTCTAAGCATGCGAATGTAAAAACCAGCACCTAGGAGGCTTGTGCAATGTCACCTGAAGGAGACTCTATAGTAAACTGAGCATATATAGGAAGCCTAAGGAAAGGTCATGCTGGGAGTGGGAACCCAGTATGTCAAAGGGTCTGGCAGTGACCCCAACACGAGCCTTGAGGAGAAAAGGCTACAGATGGCTCTATTAGCCTATGCCCATGTCACCAGACCTGACTTCCCCAAAAACTCTTGTCAAAAGGTCCACAAAGAAACCTGAGTCCTTACAGGCAGCCTGGCAGCAACTTCTCGATTAACAAGGTGTTTTGAGCCCTATTTCCTAATTTACTTGCGTAATAAAGAGTAGGTACTGGCCATGCATGGCCAGAGACTATCTGCGGCCTAGTGACAGCTGAGTGTCCCACTGCAATTCATTGGTATTCTGGCCACTTCCCAGTGCAGGAGCATATGACTCAACGCGGGTAAGCAGACCCCCGAGTCCACAGGGAACGGCCCAGCCCCGGGAGACCCAGCTCTCCGCAGCTGGTCCACAGAATACTGGTTCTCCAGCTAGACACAAAGTCAGGAGACAAGAAGCAGGGGTCGCCCTCTACGCTCTGACCGCATCCACCCCCACGCTGCCGGAGCAACCACCACAGCCACCTCGCTGCCCTAGGCGCCCCGAACTCCCCGGGCCACACGGAGAATAAACCACTGCAACCAGGGTCGAGCCCCTCCCCCGACAGACGTGCGCCTTCCAACGCACGCATCTGGGGCCGCGTGGATCCGGCCTGTCCCTCAGCCCCAGGCCGCCCCTACCCCGCTCCCGCATCCCCGAGGCCTGCTGCTTCTCCGGACTGCAGAGGCGCGGACAGGCGAGAGTCGGTGGCAGACGGAGAGGGTCCGGCCCGGACCCCGCAGACTATACACTCACCTGCCTACCGGCGCCCGCAACGCGGCCACTGTTGGCTGGAACAGGCCCTTAGGAACAGCCTGCCCGGCTGGGCGGGGCGCACCCCCCCGCCCCCGACACTGGCGCGGGAGCCGCTGATTGGCTGTGGTGGGGGCTCTTCCCCGCCCCTAACAGACCTCACCTCCTAGCAGGAGGGGGAAAAGCAGTGCGCACGCACGTCTGGCTGCGGTGCCCGTTCGGATCTAGCTACGTGATCCGACGTACGCTGAGGCGGAGCGACTGACTGGCCGCACTGGATGACGTCACCTGCGGCGAGCCAAAACCTGCGCCTTCGCTGTGGGCACCGTAGGTGCTCTGGGCCCCAGAGCCGAGGCAAATGCGGAAGGTCAGATGGACGTCTCCAGTGCGTTATCACTTACCTGTTGATTCCCAGGTGCTGTATCCGCTGCACCTGCAGCTTCCGGGCCCCACAGCCTAGGTACTGCCTGTGGCCCATGGCTGGTTTCCTACTAAGAAGCGCTCAGGATTACGATGCGAGGCGGCGTTCTTGGGTCGCGGTAGTGGACAGGCCAGCACTGCGCCAGTAGACACGGGGCAAGACACAAACGCACTTAGGTGGTGAGGGGCTCTGCCGGGCGCAGAGTCCTGGACGGGTACCGCGGGAGCTGCGACCAGGCAGTGCTCAAGGCGCACTCCTGACGAGCAAACATCTCTGCTTTGTAGTGTTCGCGCGTCTGCTGACGACCATCGGCGCCTGGGAACCGGGAACCACACCTTAGCATCGGCACTGCTTCGCTTGTTTTTCCAGGAAACTGCAGCCAGGCGAACTGTTTAATTGTTCAGTAACGAAATTTCCCTGAGGACCCATCCATTCTTCAATGGAAAACACAAATTATGCCCTAAGATTCTTTGAGTCCTTTAGCTCAAAATCTTGCTGTTTGCACCAGTCCTGAAAACGCTGTTATGGAAGAACCACCTTAAATCAAACTTGCACTTCTCCATAAATTCTGAAATTCATAAATTCTGAAATTTATAAAATTGCCTTCCTGTTTTCAGCCACCGTGAAAGCTTTGCGAGGTTGCAATTTCCCTTACTGCTGCCAGTAGTAAACTCAGTCTTGTCTTACCAATAAGTTGTGAAAGGACAAATACAAACTTAAAATATGAGACAATTTTTCCTATTGAAAATTAATTTCTACCCCCTCAACCTTTGAGCATTTAAACTTTATTAAAATTGATAATTAATGGGCTGGGGTTGTAGCTCAGTGGTAGAGTGCTTGCCTCGTACATGTGAGGCCCTGGGTTCCATCCTCAGCACCATATAAAAAAAAATAAATATATTAAAAAAAATTGATAATTAAGTACTTTTCTCTCTTTGAAATGTGTATAAATCCTTTTGAAGACTAACTAGGCCTTTTGTAGGCTTTATGACTAGAACTACCTTCAACAACATACTATATTCCTCAGCTATGTTTTCTGCAGGAGAAATGCAATCCCCCAAAGGTTTCTCCCGGCAAATAAGAACACAAGTAGGGGGCTGGGGATGTGGCTCAAGCGGTAGCGCGCTTGTCTGGCAAGTGTGCGGCCCGGGTTCGATCCTCAGCACCACATACAAAGATGAGATGTTGTGTCCACCGAGAATAAAAAAAAAAAAACCTCTAGTTTCCTACAAATGTAAAAAAAAAAAACACAAAAAAATAAAATGATAGTATGCTTTAAAAAAAAAAAAAAACACAAGTAGGGCTGGAGTTGTGGCTCAGTGGCAGAGCGCTTGCCTTGCACGTGTGAGATAATGGGTTCGATCCTTAGCACCACATAAAAATAAGTAAAGAAAGATATTTTTATTTAAACAAAATAAAGATATCCATGTGTAACTAAAATAATATTTTTTAAAAAGAAAAGGAAGAAGAACACAAGTTATCTGAACAGGGAACTTTTGTGACACTTATCCAGGCTAGATTCCAGGACTCAGGGAGATAGGGTAATTCAAAGCAAACCCTCCTTCTAAGAACTGCTTCCAATTAGAGATGTCAGTGGCCCGGATGGGGGTGGGGGGAATGAGGCAGGAGGGGTGACCCAGAGTTGCCTTGAGTCTTTACCATGGGGTAAAACAATGGGCAGTCCAGACTTGAAAGTCATGCAGTACTATTAGTCAAAACTCAAAGAGGTATAACTGGGAAGTAAGTACTCTCCGGAAACTTCCCTGGAAACCCCTAATAAAACAGGAGAGCAGGAGGAGTTTGCTGTCTCTCCTCTCTAAGATGACCCACTCTCTCCCTTTCTCCTTTGAGAGTATTTCCTTTTTTCCTGATCCTTTTCTGTATAACAGACTCATGCCTACTACTATGTACAAATTGCTTAAAATTCTGCAAGCTAGATCCCAAGAACCAGTGGTTGCAGATCTTCATGGTCACTTTAGTCTGTGGGCAAATTCCCCTCTGTAACATTGATTTGCTGCTCAGGCTGAGAAGCATTAATCCTGTCTCAGTCTCCTGGGACTACAGGTACACACCACCATACCTGGCTTCTAGCTTAATGTTTATTCAAAAAATTTAAAAGTATTTTCTTGTGTAGCTCAGGAATAGAGCACTTGCTAGCATGAACAACACCCTGGGTTCAAACCTTAGTACTGCAAAAATAAATAAATATTTTCTTTCTCTACTACCTGTGTGGAGAGGATTTCTGGGTTGGGAAAGTATGATTTTAACTATATTTCCCCATTAGGAATTAGGAGTCCGCTTCAATAAATATTTGAAGGAAAAATAAGTGACAGGAGGCATCTTTGCTTAGGCAGATTCTCTTTATAGTATTCTCCATGATTCCAGGAAATTGGAATAAATACACTTGTCTGTCACTGTGGCTCGAGCAGGCCTGGCCCAGAATTATTTTTTTTTTCAATTTTGAGACTTTGGTCTTATAAAAAAGCAATCTCTACTAAGGCATACTGTGTTGCAGAATGCTCACCTTGTCTTGTATGTATTCAGTGCTCAGCGCTACAAATAAAAACAAATAAACCAAAAACTGACCTGCTTCCTTGCTTACTTCAGTGCTTTTTGGCCACTTATATATCCCCTTCGGAGAAATTACTATTCAAATCATTTGCCCATTGGGTTGTCTTTTATTACTGAGTTGTGCAACTTTTTAATTTTTAAATTAAAAGTCCCTTTTAGGTGCTTGATTGATAAGTACAGTCATCCCTCAATCATTCTGGGGGAAATTGGTTCCAGAAACCCTCATGGATAACAAAATCTATGAATACCTCAGATAAGCTCCCTCATTTCGTACCCACACCTTTCTCCCTCTCCTGCCCTGACTTCCCCATGAAATCTTTCTTGTTGCAGTCGTTCCCTGCTCTCAGGAGGATGTTTTGATACCATCTATCTCTGTTTGTCTCTAAGTATCAACTCTTTCTGGAATTTAGGACTGCTGCTATGCATCTCCCTACTCAAGTCTACCACCTGCAAACACATCTCCTCCCTGCAACTGTCCCCAAACTAGTTCCCATTCTTAGGTTGACTATAATGAAAAAAAAAAAAAAAAAAAAAAAAAAATTCATGCTTACAGTGGATAAGACATCATGCTACAGCATGTCAGTTCTCACAAAACTCTAGGAGGAAGAGGAGGCATATCTGGATTTTACATATGAGAAAGCAGAAGGCAAAAAGAGATAAACAAACTCAGACAAAATCACACAAAGAGCCAGTACAAAGCCAGGATTTAAAACTGCAGAGTGCCAGCTCTGCCCAGATCAGATCAGTTTAGAGCCCAGAAAAAAAAAAAAAAAAAAAAAAAACATCTCTTGTCAGATAGGTTAGAAAATTAATTAGGAACTAAAATGAAGCTCTGATCAAGTAACATAAATGTTCCATGTCTTCAGTTTGCATTAATTCTAAAAGTGATTTGGAAGACAGCTTGGTGCACAAATGTGGCCCCTTGCCTTTGCCTACCTACTTTGGTTCTTACTGGCTTGATTATGCCATGGTTGTCTTTTACCTCTACACTCCCCTGGCCACTAGGCCACTAGGGTCTGGAAGTGGCTATGTGCCCCTGGGCTCAGGCCATTTGCACATCCCATTTGAATGGCTCCTCTTCCATTCTGATCTTTCCTCTTCCCCAGATAATTCCTAAGTATGAGTTTGGTCTCCATCCAATTGTCTCCTCCTCAGGAAAGCTGACTCTAGCTCCCTTACTAGGATGGAAGCCATATAGAAACTTCTTAAATGAATGAATGAATAAATCAAAGAATGGTCACTCATCTGTCTTCTGCACAGGTCCCCAGGCTGCTGGGCTTCTAACTGCCATCAGGGTAAACAGTTTCCTGGGAACTTCACAAATGTTGCCATGCTAGTCTCAGTCTTTTCCATCTTCTGAAACCTCTTCATTCCTTTGCCTGAATGCTGATTGATAACCTTGCCTCAGTGATCTCCTGTGTTTTCAGATGGAAATTATTATTTGTACTGGGGATTGCACCCTGGGGTGCTTTAATACTTAACTACATCCGCAGTCCTTTTTATTTTAGTTTTTAAATTTTCAGACAGGGTCTCACTAAGTTGCTGAGGGTCTTCCTTAGTTGCTAAGGCTGTCCTCAAACTTTGAGTTCTGGTAACTCAGCCTCCCAGGTGGCAGGGATTATAGGCCTGTGTCACCAAGAGAATTTAGACTATTCACATAAAAGTCTGAATGAGGGCTGGGGACACAGTTCAATGGTAAAGCATGTGCTTAGCCCGCCTGATATCCTGGATTCAATCCCCAGCATCCCCCTCTCCCAAAGTATGAAAGAGTTCACTGATGATGGACTCCTATAAAAACAATGATAAACCAGTATCTACATCAAGCAAAAAAAAGAGAGAGAGTTAAACAAATGTTTGATATTGAAGAACTAACACAAACAATGAAATTTCAGGTGCAGTTAGAAAAAACTTAAATACATAAGTGGGTATGTGTGTCCCTGTAACTGTCCCTACCCTTTTGCCATTCTGAAGAAGTAAATGGGAAGGGACAATTACATAGAGTCGTTCACTGCAGTGTGCTTTTTTTAGTGGAAACAGCTGAATAATTTATAATACTTCTATGCACTGGAAAATTATGTGACCTTAAAATAACGTTTTAAA